TGTGCGGAGGAGGGGGGTGACGTGAGAGAACTTGGGAAGGTTGAACACCAGACGGGCTGCGGCATTCTGGATGAGTTGTAGGGGTTTAATGGCACAGGCAGGGAGGCCAGCCAACAGCGAGTTGCAGTATTCCAGACGGGAGATGACAAGTGCCTGGATTAGGACCTGTGCCGCTTCCTGTGTAAGGCAGGGTCGTACTCTCCGAATGTTGTAGAGCATGAACCTGCAGGAGCGGGTCACCGCCTTGATGTTGGTGGAGAACGACAGGGTGTTGTCCAGGGTCACGCCTAGGCTCTTCGCACTCTGGGAGGAGGACACAGCGGAGTTGTCAACCGTGATGGCGAGATCATGGAACGGGCAGTCCTTCCCCGGGAGGAAGAGCAGCTCCGTCTTGCCAGGGTTCAGCTTGAGGTGGTGATCCGTCATCCATACTGATATGTCTGCCAGACATGCAGAGATGCGATTCGCCACCTGGTTATCAGAAGGGGGAAAGGAGAAGATTAGTTGTGTATCGTCAGCGTAGCAATGATAGGAGAGACCATGTGAGGATATGACAGAGCCAAGTGACTTGGTGTATAGGGAGAAAAGGAGAGGGCCTAGAACTGAGCCTTGGGGGACACCAGTGGTGAGAGCACGTGGTGCGGAGACAGCTTCTCGCCACGCCACTTGGTAGGAGCGACCGGTCAGGTAGGACGCAATCCAGGAGTGAGCCGCGCCGGAGATGCCCAGCTCGGAGAGGGTGGAGAGGAGGATCTGATGGTTCACAGTATCAAAGGCAGCAGACAGGTCTAGAAGGACAAGAGCAGAGGAGAGAGAGTTAGCTTTAGCAGTGCGGAGAGTCTCCGTGACACAGAGAAGAGCAGTCTCAGTTGAATGACCAGTCCTGAAACCTGATTGGTTTGGATCAAGAAGGTCATTCTGAGAGAGATAGCAAGAGAGTTGGCTAAAGACGGCACGCTCAATAGTTTTGGAAAGAAAAGAAAGAAGGGATACTGGTCTGTAGTTGTTGACATCAGTGGGGTCGAGTGTTGGTTTTTTGAGAAGGGGAGCAACTCTCGCTCTCTTGAAGACGGAAGGGACATGGCCAGCGGTCAAGGATGAGTTGATCAGCGAGGTGAGGTAGGGGAGAAGGTCACCGGAGATGGTCTGGAGAAGGGAGGAGGGGATGGGGTCAAGCGGGCAGGTTGTTGGGCGGCCTGCAGTCACAAGTCGCAGGATTTTATCTGGAGAGAGAGGGGAGAAAGAAGTCAAAGCATAGGGTAGGGCAGTGTGAGCAGGACCAGCAGTGTCATTAGACTTAACAAACGAGGATCGGATGTCGTCAACCTTCTTTTCAAAGTGGTTGACGAAGTCATCCACAGAGAGAGAGGGGGGGGGGGGGGGGGGGGGGAGGATTCAGGAGGGAGGAAAATGTGGCAAAGAGCTTCCTAGGGTTAGAGGCAGATGCTTGGAATTTAGAGTGGTAGAAGGTGGCCTTAGCAGCAGAAACAGATGAAGAAAATGTAGAGAGGAGGGAGTGAAAAGATGCCAGGTCGGCAGGGAGTTTAGTTTTCTTCCATTTCCGCTCCGCTGCCCGGAGCTCTGTTCTGTGAGCTCGCAGTGAGTCATCAAGCCACGGAGCTGGAGGGGAGGACCGAGCCGGCCGGGAGGATAGGGGACACAGAGAGTCAAAGGATGCAGAAAGGGAGGAGAGGAGGGTTGAGGAGGCAGAATCAGGAGATTGGAGGGAGAAGGATTGAGCAGAGGGAAGAGATGATAGGATGGAAGAGGAGAGAGTAGTGGGAGAGAGAGAGCGAAGGTTGCGGCGGCGCATTACCATCTGTGTAGGGGCAGAGTGAGTAGTGTGGGAGGAGAGCGAGAGAGAAAAGGAAACAAAGTAGTGGTCGGAGACATGGAGGGGAGTTGCAGTGAGATTAGTAGAGGAGCAGCATCTAGTGAAGATGAGGTCAAGCGTATTGCCTGCCTTGTGAGTAGGGGGGGACGGTGAGAGGGTGAGGTCAAAAGAGGAGAGGAGTGGAAAGAAGGAGGCAGAGAGAAATGAGTCAAATGTGGACATAGGGAGGTTGAAATCCCCCAAAACTGTGAGGGGTGAGCCATCCTCAGGAAAGGAACTTATCAAGGCGTCAAGCTCATTGATGAACTCTCCAAGGGAACCTGGAGGGCGATAGATGACAAGGATATTAAGCTTAAATGGGCTAGTGACTGTGACAGCATGGAATTCAAATGAGGAGATAGACAGATGGGTTAGGGGAAAAATTGAGAATGTCCACTTGGGAGAGATGAGGATTCCTGTACCACCACCCCTCTGACCAGATGCTCTCGGGGTATGCGAGAACACATGGTCAGACGAGGAGAGAGCAGTAGGAGTAGCAGTGTTTTCAGTGGTGATCCATGTTTCCGTCAGCGCCAGGAAGTCGAGGGACTGGAGGTTGGCATAGGCTGGGATGAAGTCAGCTTTGTTGGCAGCAGAACGGCAGTTCCAGAGGCTGCCTGCGACCTGGAACTCCAGGTGAGGGGTGCGTGCAGGGACCACCAGGTTAGAGAGGCAGCAGCCGCGCGGTGTGGTGCGTTTGTGTAGCCTGTGCAGAGAGGAGAGAACAGGGATAGGCAGAGGCATAGTTGACAGGCTGTAGCAAATGGCTACAAAAATGCAGAGGAGATCGGAATGAAATGAGCTAAGCATCTGGGAGAGGAGAGAGCAGGGCCTCCCTCACCAAAAACTTCTACCTCAGAAACTAAAATTGTTTCACTGAACCACCCGAACAAAAACTCTCCCAACTTCCACCTTTAGAAATCAGAATTGTTGTGAACCACAGCGGTTCAATGTTTAAAGGAATAGACTCAACCCACTTTATTCAGCTAGCTAACTATGACACCATAGCTAACTAGCATGCTAGCATCCAATAACACACAGTTTAACACACAGTTTAGCACCAACACTTGGTCACAACAAACCACCAATAGTGTGTTAACTAGCTAACTAGCATGCTAGCATCCAGTAACACACAGTTTAGCACAAACACTTGGTCACAACAAACCACCAATAGTGTGATAACACACTAAACAGATCATTCGTGTCTGTGTCAAGTTCCTTTCATGACGCAGCAATGATTAAACGTTGGCTAGCTAGGACAAGTATATTGTATTTAGCTACTACAGTACAGTTAGCTGGACATGATGGGTAGCTAGCAATGGCCACTGTGTTGACTTTGTTTGAAGAACGGCTAGCTAGCTAGCTTCGTGCTACACCCGGCACACAATGGCTACTGTGTTGACTCTGACTGTTCGAAAAAAACGGCTAGTTAGCTCGCTTCGTGCTACAGCCGGCACGGCCGAAGACACTGCCAAGACACACCAATAGTATGATAACACACTAAACAGATCATTCGTGTCTGTGTCAAGTTCCTTTCATGACGCAGCAATGATTCAACGTTGGCTAGCTAGGACAAGTATATTGTATTTAGCTACTACAGTACAGTTAGCTGGTCGTGTTGGGTAGCTAGCAATGGCCACTGTGTTGACTTTGTTTGAAGAACGGCTAGCTAGCTAGCTTCGTGCTACACCCGGCACACAATGGCTACTGTGTTGACTCTGACTCTGTTCGAAAAACGGCTAGTTAGCTCGCTTCGTGCTACAGCCGGCACGGCCGAAGACACTGCCAACCTGCAGTAACTACCCACAACAACCCACGATACCTAGCTATGACGCCGTAGCTAACTAGCAAGCTAGCATCCATTAACACACAATTTAGCACCAATACTTGGTTACAACAAACTGCCAAGAGTGTGTTAGCACACTAAACAGATAATTCATGTCCGTGTCTAGTTCCTTTCATAACGCATAACGCAGCAAAAATTAAACGTTGGGTAGCAGCACATTAACATTGGAAACAGCTCTCCACCGTTGCTAATCGTTACCAGTAGCTACCCGCTAGCTAGCTAGCCTCGTGCTTCGATACTAACCTACAATTACCTACGGAAACCTACAATAACAACAATACTAACCTATAATAAATACAATACCTAACTACAACTAACTACCTACCTACGATCTAATACATGGTTAAGCTTTACTCAACACCATATGAGAAGCTTACCTCCTGCTTACCTCCAGCTAGAGAAAAACACAACCTCTCCCGACAGCAGCCTCCCGCCGATGGCGGACACACTTTCACACTCTTCACCTACGCTGCTGCTACTCTGTTTATTATCTATCCTGATTGCCTAGTCACTTTTACCCCTACCTACATGTACATACTGTAGTTCCTCAACTACCTCATACCCCTGACTCGGTACTGGTACTCCTTGTATATAGCCTCCTTATTGTTATTTTATTGTGTTACTATTTCCTTATTTTTGTATATATTTTTTGGGCAAATATTTTTTTACTTTTTAACTCTGCATTGTTGGGAATGGGCTCGTAAGTAAGCATTTCGTGGTCAAGTCTACACATGTTGTATTCGGCACATGTGACCAATGCGATTTGATTTGACGCTGTCACAGACACTACAGTGGCACAGATACAAAGATAAGTCCTCTATCTATCTCTATGGACGTAGCCCATAACGTCTTTGCAACATTGTTGCTCACATTGCCACAATGTTTCTCATGCCTAATTGTCTAATTAACACGTACAGCCCCCTGACATTTTTCAGACGTATCAACTATTAAATAATAAGGAATGTAATAATCAGATTTTCATCATTATTTATTTGTATTTTTCGCTCCCTATTCAGGCATTCTTTTGGCCGACTGTTTGCTGGTGCGAAAGAAGGACCTCTGTCAGATGTTTATTTTAATGTCTCATCGTTAAATCTTTGGGTCGCACATCTCAATTGAGATATTTAATAATGCTAATTTAGAAATAAATATATGTTGGCTTAAATGCTCGCGGGTTCATAGACCTTGGAAATTTAGCAATTTCGATTAGGTTGTGTTCTTTGCTCTACATTATTGAGGAACAGGAGAAACACACATCCCTCAATTCAAAGACGAATATATATATATATATATATATTTATATATGAATACTGATAGCATTTAGGGTGGCGTCATAGTTACTAGCCAGAGGTGTTTGATAGGTTTAGGAATAACCAAGGATGGCAGACGAAGCCCTTTTTCAGTTTTTACACAATGAGGTGATACAGTATATTTACAAGTCAACTGAACATGGGGAAATGGTGAGATCTGATTTATTTTTAATGGTATTGGAACATATGGAATGTGTGTGTATAATAACTAATTATGTTGTTTTATCCTCATATCCTTTAGGAAAATGGGAGATGCATTACCAAACTGGAAAATATGGGATTCAGGGTGGGTCTGGGACTAATAGAAAGGTTTGTTCAAGCGCTATGTTTGATTTGTTTATTGATTAATACTAATCAGATAATTAATGTTGTTGTTTACCACTGTGACCACCTCCAATTATTATAATAAACACTGACATCACCAAACACATTATCTCCAAGGGTGATATTTTCCAACCTGATCTGTCAATGATAATGGCACAATCAGGGCCGGCTCTACCCTTTTGGGGCCCCAAGTTAGATATGATTGTGACCCAGACCCCCCCCCTTTTGACAGCTGTGAATACATTTATGTTTTAAGGTGAATTTCCTGCAATTCTACATATTTTGCCATGGGGTGGAGAGAAATGTTAGCAATTTTATAACACATCTCATGCAATTCTACTCATTTTACCATGGGGCAGTGAAAAAACATTTGTAGTTTTACAGCCACCTTCCTGCAATTCTACCCATTTAGCCATGGGGTGGATATTTTTTTTTCAGTTTAAGATAATTTCCTGCAATTCTACATGTTTTGCCATGACTTATGCCATGTTAATGATATCTGAGTGAGAGTGACTAAGTGGGGCCCCCTGAAGGTCAGGGCTCCTGGGCACGTGCCCTGCATGACCGGTCGGTATTTGGTCATGATTACTACAAGTTTAGATAGCTGGCCTGGGGCCCTGGGTTGGGTGTCCCTTAGCAGCCTGGGGCCCTAAGCGACTGCTTCTGCCTGGAGCCGGCCCTGGGAACAACATCATGGTGAACATACAATTTTTCTTTAGGTTCACCAAAGACACAGCACGGTTTAAAGATGAGCTTGATGTCATGAAATTCATCTGCAAAGACTTCTGGACCAGTGTGTTCAAAAAGCAAATTGACAACCTAAGAACAAATCACCAAGTAAGGCTCAATTTTCCAATTGCCCTTCAATCACCACCTCTCATGGAAATATTATGCAGTCAAATGTTTTCACTGAATATACTGTAATTTTTCATGTAGTGTTGATTTCTGTGGATTGTTTTTCAGGGTATTTATGTTCTGCAGGATAACAAGTTCCGGTTACTCACTCAGCTCTCTGCTGGTAAACAGTATTTGGAGCATGCCCCAAAGGTGAGGAAGCGTAATGGGGGGGAAAAACTCACTTGTCAAGCACTATTTATACCTTTACAAATTTCACCACATGAATGGTTCTCCCTGCCCCTGTCATTGCAGTATTTGGCGTTCACGTGTGGCCTGGTTAGAGGAGGGCTTTCCAACCTGGGAGTGAAGAGTATTGTCACTGCAGAGGTGTCCGTTATGCCTGCCTGTAAGGAATACTTTTCTCTTTGGGAGAGCTTGTGAATTGGGAAACCTATTAAACATCTAACCACACATTCTTCCATAAACACACTATCTATCCAGGGTTGTAAACAGTTTAATGAAAGTCAGACTTATTACAGGTATCCAGAGATATAATGATTCTCAAGCATAACCATGCCCCAACCATTACTCAACAGTCTAATACAACCAACCAAAAACATCAGCCAGCCCAGACCAAAACAGTACTTTGTGTGTGATGTTGGTATGTGAAGAGCAAAATGATATTGGGATAAACAGTACTTTTATCCTTCTGACATATTGTTTATTTCTACACAGGTAAATTTCAGGTCATGATCCAGAAAATGTAGCCCCTTCCGGAGGAAGGCGTATTCACTCCAACCCCACCCATCCCAGTTTTATTGCCTTTCTTTATTGAACAAAAGCTTGAAATGTCCTGCATGCAGACAACAGTGTTGTGCCTACATAACATATGTTTTTATCAAATGTATTTGTACTATTATTGCTTATTGTTGATTATGATAAATGAATGCATTATTGTAACATATTTTTCTTTACATCTGAAAAATATTATTTGCACTGAGTGTTGATTAAAGACCCAAGTCTATTTCGCCTTTGTATCCATATAATTTGTTAAAGTTAGGCCATAACATAGGCCTAAATAAGTAGGCCTAACATGCAAAAAATAGTTACTTTATTTAACAATTTATAAAGATTAGGCCTACAAGGTATGCTGTGTGTGGCGCAGTGGTCTAAGGCGGTGATTTCACTTGAGGACCAATGGAATGATTTATATGTGGGTTTCTTACCTAGCTACCTTAGTTGACTCTGGATAAGAGCGTCTGCTAAATTAGGAAAAAATTCGCTAAATGAAAACGTAGACAGGAAATATAATTTCAGTATGCCGTCATCTAGACTCGTTGAGCCAATGGAAAACCAATTGCTCTGGGAGAGGCTGTTGATTGGCTGGTTCAAATGGGGAGGAAATTTAAACGGTAACGCAAAACCTAATTTTGTGCTCTTAGCACTGCAACTAACTGACGGCTCACGGGATTTCAACTACGGATTGGTTGTGTTTATAAGATACACGTTTAAAAGGTACGTTATAATGTAGTGTATTTTTATGAACATGTTAACTCTTTTGTATCTTATCATTTACCCAGAGAACTTTGATCAACAGTACAGTATCTAGCTAGTACCTCGTTAGCTGGCCAGCTCACGACGTTAGCTACTACTGTACGCTAGTTTATTTTTTATATGGCTCTGTCTTGTGCTTGTTATGTTAACGTATATCTGTCTTGTCGCTACGCAGTTGAATGTGTTCATGGGGGGAAAAGAGTAACGTTTTGCTCGCTAATTTAGCCACTGATACGTTTTCAAACTAATTCCCATCTGAACAATTTGCATCAATCTGCTTGTTAGGAGGATACTAACTACACACAGCTGCTGAAATGGACGGTGAGATGGCGCAGAGTGACTCGGCTAGTCACTACGAATTCGATGCACCGTCACATGTAATTGATTTCAAAACATTGGATACGGAGGACAACGCAGACATTTGGTTTGGTAAGAAATGTTCGCAAGCTTATGCACGATATTATACAATATTTCTGAGGAAATCAGATCTTAAGGGGATGTTTGTAAGGCAACGACTTTACTATTGTCCAACGCACTCAATACAGTTCCCATTGGCTATGTAAGAAGGGATCTTCCCAATATTAATGCATGCATTTCGAAATATTTGTCAGCGTGCTCCAATAGGTGTCTGGCTAAATGCTTTAGCACCTACTGTAACTTGTAAAGTTGTTGAATTTACACTTTATTCTTGAATCATGTGACTTTCTGCAGACCAATGTGCTGGCCAGGATGAGGGAATGTTTGGCCTCCTTGCCACCCCAAACAGAAACAATATATCATTTGGAATGACCCCTAAAACACACTTGCCCAGGGTGAAAGACAATTCTAACTCAGGTTGGTACTTTGGACAGTTTTATGATTATCCAGGGTGATTTCACACTTACATTCAAAAGTTGGACTGACCTGTGTGTAATATGATATCTATTCATGTTTCCACAGTAGAGGCCCCAAGCACTTCCTCAGGACCCACCACAGCAGATGCCCTGAGCATGTCCTCAGCTGCCCTCCCCAACATTGTCACCTCCTGGGGAAATAAGCCAGCTCCGGTAGCTGCCCTGCCAAAAAAGAAGGGACCCCCTGCCCAACCACGCAGGTATGTTGCTTCTAGAACACTCAGCTCGGCTGACATCTTGAGAGTTCTAAGGCTCTACATTGGGTGTCTAAGGAATGTGGAGAATGTGCCTTGTCTTCTTTTTGATGAACCCAGTTGCAGCCATCCTGCTGCATTCATGGGTGTTTGGAATATTTATTTTATTAGTCTAGTTCAATGGGAAAGGAAAGATACGACAGAAGGTTATAATGCTAAAGTAATGTTTATTTCTTCCATAAAAGCATCGACCTGTTTAGCTGCAGACCAGTCCAGGAGTAAATTAAGTTCCTGTTGTATTTGACCTAACTGGTCAGCATTAGACCAAGCAACTATGCTTTTAAGTGTTAATATAACACTTGTTTCTCCACTGAAGGGTGTCAAAGCGCAAAGAGGCAGCCAGCAATGAGGAAGGACGGCACACCGCCCCTCAAGCCGCACCACCTGTCAAGAAGCAGAGAAAGTCAGTAAACTTATATATTTGCCCAATCCTTCCTGTGTTCCATGGTTATGATGAGCAACTGTGTGCCTGGGATTATTAAATCTAGCCAGCTCAAACCCAACTGCTGGAAAAACCTTTTGTCCACTTCGAACAACTGGAGTGTCTTGTCTTCCCCCTTTCACCACGGTGGAAATGTATTTTGAGGGGGCTTGTTTAGCATGGTCCAAACTGTTCACTATTGGGTTTGAAATATGACATTGGGTGTTGGTCACTGGAGAATGTGCCACTGTATTACTATTTCACATGCTACGCTCTCCACCTCTTGTGGACAAAAGTAACCAGACTGTCTCTGTCTGTTTTCCAGGAGCTCCTCATCTCTACCCCCAAGACGCAGTGTTAGTGCCCGCACTAGCGGCACTGTCTGCACCACCGTGCGACTCAATCCCAGAGCAGCCACGCAGGCCCGGCCCGTTGCACCAGCCCCCAGCATCAAACAGTAAGTCATACTGCTATCACTCATGGGTTTTAATTAGTCAAGTAGGCATGAGTGACTTGATATTGGTGCCGACAAGACGGTCAGTCTTTTAATCCATGGATTCGTTAAGGAATTTGACTGGTAACGTTTCCCAGCCCCATCCCTCAGCGTTAATACCCTAGCAGTAACTCGCCTTATTCAACTAATCAAGTGTTTACACTGGGCTAGGACAAAAGCTTGCAAACCACAGTGGTTCTCAAGGACCAGGATTGTAGAACACTGCATTTGAAGGTTAATATCCCTAGATTGTGTTATGAAGTGTGTATGTCAACCCCAGGCATAAGAGCTCTGAGCAGCAGGAGATGGAGCGCATCAAGACTCTTCAGAAGGAAGTGGCTGACCAGCGGAAGAGGAACGAGGCCAGTTACAGGGCTGCCATGGCAGGCAGTGAGTACTCCTTCCTACAAGTGAAGATTTGCAAATCTGTCTGCATTAAGCAGGATTTTTCTTACATTTTCGTCATTTAGCAGACTCTCTTATCCAGAGCGACTTACAGTTAGTGAGTGCATACATTTTCATCATGTCGTCACTCAGGTCATCCCCCTAAGAAGCTGGCTCTGGCCACCACCGTACCCAAAGAGTTCAACTTCAGCACAGATGGGCGTGTGAAGGTGGGCACTTCGCCACCGCACAGGGAGATGGACTTCACCGCTCAGCTCCGCAAGCACCCGTCCTCCCCTGTAAGTAGTAGCTTTATGTTTGGCCACATCAGCTGCTATAGCAGTTTCAGGGATAGTTCACAGAACCCAAATATATGATTTTCCACTTCCCTAAGTTGTCGATTCACCCAGACATATTTGTTTCCCCTTGAATTCATCTCCTGAATTATTTCTTTGTCAGGCCAAGGCGCCAAATGGAACTACTGTGCCCAAGCCCTTTAACCTGTCTACTGGCAGCAAGAGGAAGATGGAGGACACTGCCCCCTACGTGCCCATGGCCCAGCAGATTGAGCAGTTCCACAGACAGACTCCGACCCGCTACCACCTTCGCAGTCGACAGAGCCAGGAGAGGGGTGTGTGTATTAGCTCTAATCCATCCAGTCTTTGACATTGTTATACAGTCCCATGCTCTGGGGTGTGCTTACTGTATGCATGTGGGGGAAGTAAAAATGACAGCAAATTACAATGATATTCTCTCCTTCAGGCCCGTCGCCTGTGAAGAGTGAGCAGCTGAAGATCACCCACCCTCACACCCCTCAGCTGATGACCCGGCAGAGGAGCCGTCCCACAGCGGTCAAGAGCTGCGCTGAGCTGGAGGCCGAGGAGCTCCAGAAACTCCAACAGTGAGTCCACACTTAGGGCTTTTTCACTCACACCCTCTGTCCTTTTGCTGTCATGCGGTGTAGCCTATAAATAGTAGTTATTAGACTTGGTGGGTTACTTCTACCAGCGTGTATTCTACGAATGAAGCCGACACTTTTACTGGTACTCCAGTCCATTCATGGTCCAACGACTCTGAGCCCTCTTAAGGAGAACAGAACGTTCAGATAAGTCATACATGTTCGACAACGTATTTCTGTTTTAAATTTGAATAGGGAATTGTCTTCACTTATTCTATTTGCTACCTTCATTATCCACCCCTGTCCTGTGGTATCTTCCAGGTTTAAGTTCAAGGCCCTGGAGCTGAACCGGAAGATCCTAGAGGGTGCGCTGAACCCCAAGAAGCCCACTGTGAAGGAGCCCACGCGGCCTGAGGGCTTCAATTTGCACATGGACAAGAGGCTGGCGGATCGAAATGCCAGCAAGAAGCCGGAGGAGCCCGAGGAGCAGCACATCTTCCACTCCCGCCCGCTGCCGGTCAGGATCCTGGAGGAGGTGGTGGTGAGTGCTACACGGCCAACTCTAGTTTTTACTAGATTGTCATGGATTTTTGCGCTGGATTGGTAGTACATGTAGCCTAGGTGCCAGTCTGTTAGCAGTCTGCTCCTAATGGAATTGTCATGCCAAATACTACTCTTTCTGTTCTCCTTTGTTTGGCATGCTCAGTTTTAACTTCAAAAACATTCTAGCGCTGGTATAATACCATGATGGTATATATGTGATGGTGCGCTTGTTAATTGTCTACCCACACCTGTTGGTTCACAGGGTGTTCCGGAGAAGAAGGTGCTGTGTCCCACTGTTCCAGAGTCCCCTGCGTGGGCCTTGAAGAAGAGGGTGCGCATAGACAGAAAGGTGGAGGAGGTGAAACCCCCGGCCCCGCTCAAGGCCCACGCTGCACCCCACTTTGGCCTGCCCTTCCAGCCTAAGCTCCAGGACAAGACCCACATGGAGGTGTGCCCCTTCTCCTTTGAAGAGAGGGAGTGTGAGAGGAGGGTGCTGAAAGAGAAGAGGCTGGAGGAGCTGAGACATGAAGAGGTACTGCCTTAAAACGTTCAGTTTTTCTCCTCTGGTAGCGTTTGCCTCAAATTCTATTGATAGGGTTAACCTGATGACTAGTGCCACTTTTTGGGATAATGAATTAATGCCTTTGGCTGCAAGTTGTTTAGCTAGAAAATGTTATCGTAACCAGATGTCAAATTCTGAACCTCTCAGGTGCCAAAGTTCAAGGCCCAGCCACTGCCGGACTTCCATGAGGTGGTCCTGCCAGAGAAGAAGGTGGCTGAGCCCACCAAGCCTGAGCCCTTCAAGCTGCTCATCGACAAGCGGGGAGCTGTCAAGAACGACCGCTGGGAGCAAATGGTAAGGCCAAGGCGGGGTCCCTTGACAACTCCAGAGTGGTACTGACTGGCTTTATTGAATTCCTGCTCTGCTGTCAAACTGAAGATGTGGCAAAGCTCATGCAGTTGCTTTCATACTCTGACCGTATCAATAGAATAACTAGTTCTTATTTCTGACTGGCACCATAGTACTGTATGTCAGGCACAATCAGTTTTTTGTGTACGTGCATAAACTATTTGCAAAATCCTATTTCCTGCCTAGGGCTGTTGCAATGATGATATTACTGCCACACCAGCAATCATGAGTCATGACCGCAGTAAAATTCGAATCATCTCTTATGCGCTCTGTGCATGCATTAGTAGTACCCAACTGGCTAACGATCATCAGGTCGCTAATGGCCTGGTACTCTGGGCTCTATTGTCCCTCTAACCACTAACGTCAATGCAATTTAAAATCACATCAAACACTTATCAAAACGGTGTGCTTTTAAAACTCGCCTCACTGTGATTGATCAATTTCAAGAAAGAAGTTCAACAGGTTGAAACTGAGTGGAAAACATGGTCGTTGTTTCAAAGAACCTGAATTAAAATGACTGCCGTTATACACTACTGCACATCACACATGGCAGAAAAACTTTTAAAAAACAACAACTTTGGTACATAATTGGTCTAGCCTAAATTAAACAAATTCTGATTTTAGCTTACAATTATAGTGAATTTGAATAGCCTAGTGATAGGACATTTTGTAAAATATTTTAATAGCTGACGGAATACCTTTAGCTACAGAATATCTCACCGCTGTGAGTTTCCATCTCCTTTCTCCAGCGTGCAGAGAGGGGCTGTCAACCGTTTAATTAAATATGTTTAGTTGTGAACACGTTACTATCAATGTTCCTGAACAGATTTCACTTGGTTTCCCAAATTAAGCACTGGGTAGCTGCAGGAACAGGGTTGGAGAGCCCATGGCATACAGAGTTTGGGCAGAATATCACCTGTTGTGTAAGATTAGCCTACCCGACTTGCATGAAAAACGTACCTGCAGGAAAGTGGCCTCATTTGCTATTCCAGTGCATACAGATGACATGTCTTGCTCCTGTTGCCCATTTGGGAATGGGCCTTTCTAAATCAAACCTAATTCTACATATTAGTAAAGACTAAATTAAATTGAGAATAGTCTGATGGATGAAAATATGATCACTTAATGAGAACTGCATGTGCATCCTGAGGCAAGGTACAGAGCAGACTTTTTTGACTTTCTCAAATCATCAATAGCCTATAGTTGCATCATGCAGCCCATATCTTTTGATTTCTAAGGTTTGTATCATTCACAACTAAAGTTACCAAATAACTAAATGTAGCGTATAGGACCGGTTTCAAATTATCACTTTTACACTCAACGTTGCCGCTTCATATGCCCGCACTCTCGCTCCGGAATGGGGAAAAATATCCTTTCTGTTTTATTCAGCCAAGTTCAATTATAATTCTTCTTACTATAAAATAATAGCAAGGGACATCTTATCTGCTAAATGAACAAGCCTATGGCATGGCGCATAGCCCGATAACATACAGTAGGCCGCCAACTCTTATCTTCTGAAATACATTTTCTTCATATACAGTGAGGGGGGGGAAAGTATTTGATCCTCTGCTTTTGTACGTTTGCCCACTGACAAAGAAATGATCAGTCTATAATTTTAATGGTATGTTTATTTGAACAGTGAGACAGAATAACAACACAAATCCAGAAATACGCATTTCAAAAATGTTATGAATTGATTTGCATTTTAATGAGGGAAATAAGTATTTGACCCCTCTGCAAAACATGACTTAGTACTTGGTGGCAAAACCCTTGTTGGCAATCACAGAGGTCAGACGTTTCTTGTAGTTTGCACACATCTCAGGAGGGATTTTGTCCCACTCCTCTTTGCAGATCTTCTCCAAGTCATTAAGGTTTCGAGGCTGACGTTTGGCAACTCGAACCTTCAGCTCCCTCCACAGATTTTCTTTGGGATTAAGGTCTGGAGACTGGCTAGGCCACTCCAGGACCTTAATGTGCTTCTTCTTGAGCCACTCCTTTGTTGCCTTGGCCGTGTGTTTTGGGTCATTGTCATGCTGGAATACCCATTTTCAATGCCCTGGCTGAGGGAAGGAGGTTCTCACCCAAGATTTGACGGTACATGGCCCCGTCCATCGTCCCTTTGATGCGGTGAAGTTGTCCTGTCCCCTTAGCAGAAAAACACCCCCAAAGCATAATGTTTCCACCTCCCATGTTTGACGGTGGGGATGGTGTTCTTGGGGTCATAGGCAGACAATAACCTGGTTGCATAAGTGTGCACACCCTTAAACTAATACTTTGTTGAAGCACCTTTTGATTTTATTACAGCACTCAGACTTTTTGGGTAGGAGTCAAGATGTGCCATGCTAATAGACGTGGCAATATTTGCCCACTCTTCTTTGCAAAAGCACTCCAAATCTGTCAGATTGCGAGGACATCTCCTGTGCACAGCCCTCTTCAGATCACCCCAGAGATGTTCAATTGGATTCAGGTCTGGGCTCTGGCTGGGCCATTCCAAAACATTAATCTTCTTCTGGTGAAGCCATGCTTTTGTGGATTTGGATGTGTGCTTTGGGTCGTTGTCACGCTGAAAGGTGAACTTCAGCTTTCTAACAGATGCCTGAAGGTTTTTTGCAAAAATTGCCTGGTATTTGGAACTGTTCATAATTTCCTCCACCCTGACTAAGGCCCTGGTTCCAGCTGAAGGAAAAACGGCCCCAAAGCATGCTGCTGCCACCACCATGCTTCACTGTGGGTATGGTGTTCTTTGGGTGATGTGCAGTGTTTTTGCGCCAAACATACCTTTTGGAATTATGGCCAAAAAGTTCAATTTTGTTTTCATCAGACCATAACACATTTTCCCATGTGCTTTTGGGGGACTTGTTTGTTTTTGCGAACTTCAGCCGGGTTTGGATGTTTTTTTTTTTTGTAAGAAAAGGCTTCCGTCTTGCCACCCATAGCCCGTTCATATGAAGAATACGGGAGATTGTCACATGTAGCACACAGCCAGTACTTGCCAGAAATTCCTGCAGTTCCTTTTAATGTTGTTGTAGACCTCTTGGAAGCCTCCCTGACCAGTTCTCGTCTTTTCATACATTTTGGAGGGACGTCCAGTTCTTGGTAATGTCTCTGTGCCATATTTTCTGCACTTGATGACTGTGTTCCATGGTATATGTAATGCTTTGGAAATTATTTTGTACCCTTCTCCTGACTATCTTTCAACAATAATCCCTCTGATACTTTGGAAGCTCTCTGCGGACCATGGCTTTTGCTCTGAGATGCAACTAAGAAAATGTCAGGAATCCTACTAGAACAGCTGAACTTAATTTGTGATTAATCAGTGTCACTTTAAATGATGGCAGGTGTGTAATGACTTCTATTTAACATGAGTTTGAATGTGATTGGTTAATTCTGAACACAGTTATAAGCGGGTGTGCACACTTATGCAACCAGGTTAAGGTTTTTATGTTTCATTTTTCCCCCTCAGATTTCAGTTTGTTTTTTCAATTTAATTGTTCACATTATAGGTCACATTAACAGTGGAAAAAGTTCTAACATTATTTATCTTTGTCTCATACTTTTACAACACAAAAACCTGGCATTTTAACAGGGGTGTGTAGACTTTTTATATCCACTATATATATTTGTTTACCTTATTTTTCTCCCCAATTTCGTGATATCCAATTACGATCTTGTCTCATTGCTGCAATTTGACAGGAATTTCATGACCGCCACAGCACTATTCCTGCCCAAGCCCCTCTGTTTTGTTCTCTCCAGGTGAAGGAGGAACAGAAGCACCAGGCGGAGGCAGCCACCTTCAAAGCTCGACCAAACACGGTCATTCACAAAGAGCCGTTCATCCCCAAGAAAGCGAACCGCTCTGTCCTGGGTAAGTATGACCACACCAGCCTCACTCACCTCTTTCTGCACTGTGGTGGCCATAGACAACCCTGGTCCTGGAAACCTGTTGGATCTCTTTATTTAACTCACAACTTCTCCTCCCACCCTTTATCTAAGGGGTTCCCCCAATTTTGTCACCCTGAGCAGTCCTCTTGGATCATTACCTATCTCGAAGGGAAAGATGTAGTGCGACTCATCTCTAACCTATTTATTTCCCTCAACTTCAAATGCCAGTCTGGTTTTTCTTAGAAAAGTCTCTAAATGCTGGATCAAAGTTGCCTACTCCTTTACATGGGCTTTGTTTGGGTAACGCTGAGCTTGACTTCTGCGCTCTAACCTTTTTCTGCCTTTCCTTTACAACCCCCCACCTTTTTTTTTAAACACCACCACCCAAACCCTTTATCACCTCCCTCTTTTTTTACTTGCCTCTCTTTAGAAGACATAAATAATTCCGTAGTTCCAGAGGGCTTCCAGCTGTCCACAGAGCGCCGCGCCAAGGAGCGGCTGGAGTTTGACCGGGCGGTGAGTGAGAAGGAGGCACTGAGGGCTCGCTTGGAGGAGGAACAGCGCCGGGAGCAGGAGGAACGTGAGGAGGAGGACATGGCCAGGCTACGCCAAGAGCAGGTAACTACACTAACCTTAGACCAGCCCCCCAGAAATTGGTCATGTGCTTAAAATACTGTAGAGCTAAGTTGTAGCATGGTAAGGGCTTGTTGTCCATATACCATTTTTAAACCAGCTCTATTGAATAAACCATTCTCCCTCTACATGTGGAGGCATTTGTTCCAGCACAAACACCTGGGTAGGGTAGCCTACCTGAACTAGTCTAAAACGTTCCTTTTTTAAAAACGTTGTGTACCCTAATCTGTTTGCTCCAGCCCTGCACCAACACACCTGATACAACTAAGGAATTGCTCATTTGGGCCTTTGGTATAGTTTAATCGGGTGTGGTGGTTTGTTGGAACAGAAGCCCTGGTTGTACCTTAGTGTAACATGAGTGTTTGACCAGCGTCTTTATGTCCTCTCTCCGTCCCTTAGGTCCACAAAGCCCAGCCCATCAGACGTTACAAACAGCTGGAGCTGAAGAAGAGCAACGTCACACTCACTGTGCCCCAGTCTCCCAACTTTTCTGATCGCTTCCGCATATGATGGATGAGGGAAGGGCTTTAATTATATGTATATTATATAACCACTTCATTTAGTTATTCTATACAGCTTCTGTGGTCTGCCTTTAAATGGTTTGAACCTTTCTTCAGATTTAAATTTCTCTGGATAAACCTGACCTCTCATTCCCACTATGGCTTGTATATTTTTTGCTTGTTCTGACTTGCTGTCTCTTTTGATTATGTATAATAGTCATGTTTTTACTTTTAATGTCTTAACCTTTTAATACACCAGGCTTTACATCCATACTCTGGCTTTGAAGTCTTGTGACGTTTATTTTAATGTGCGGAAATGAATGTAGTCTATTGACCGTCTCTGCAACATGTCGCAGCAGCCTTCTGCCAATAAATGGACTACAACTCTCTCTGATATACTTTTTGGCCTTTTTTATGTACCAGGGACCGGTAAGCTATGGTTTTCCCTCTGGGGAAAGCTTACCAGTGCTAGAACTGTGTATAAGTGTTCACTAACTATCTCCAGGACCGGAGGTTGACAAACTCTGAGCTAGTGGGTAAGGTTGGATGGAAGCCCATCTGTCATTTCAGTAGAGCTCATTTGGAAGTCTTTATTTTATTTGTGTATATATATATATATATATATATATATATATATATATATATATATTACACACAGTGGGGAGAACAAGTATTTGATACACTGCCGATTTTGCAGGTTTTCCTACTTACAAAGCATGTAGAGGTCTGTCATTTTTATCATAGGTACACTTGAACTGTGAGATATGGAATCTAAAACAAAAATCCAGAAAATCACATTGTATGATTTTTAAGTAATTAATTTGCATTTTATTGCATGACATGTATTTGATCACCTACCAACCAGTAAGAATTACGGCTCTCACAGACCTGTTAGTTTTTCTTTAAGAAGCCCTCCTGTTCTCCACTCATTACCTGTATTAACTGCACCTGTTTGAACTTGTTACCTATATAAAAGACACCTGTCCACACACTCAATCAAACAGACGCCAACCTCTCCTCAATGGCCAAGACCAGAGAGCTGTGTAAGGACATCAGGGATAAAATTGTAGACCTGCACAAGGCTGGGATGGGCTACAGGACAATAGGTAAGCAGCTTGGTGAGAAGGCAACAACTGTTGGGCAATTATTAGAAAATTGAAGAAGTTCAAGATGACGGTCAATCACCCTCGGTCTGGGGCTCCATGCAAGATCTCACCTCGTGGGGCATCAATGATCGTGAGGGATCAGCCCAGAACAACACAGCAGGACCTGGTCAATGACCTGAAGAGAGCTGGGACCACAGTCTCAAAGAGAACCATTAGTAACACATTACGCCGTCATAGATTAAAATCCTGCAGCGCACGCAAGGTCCCCCTGCTCAAGCCAGCGCATGTCCAGGCCCGTCTGAAGTTTGCCAATGACCATCTGGATGATCCAGAGGAGGAATGGGACAAGGTCATGTGGTCTGATGAGACAAAAATAGAGCTATTTGGTCTAAACTCCACTCGCCGTGTTTGGAGGAAGAAGAAGGATGAGTACAACCCAAGAACACCATCCCAACCGTGAAGCATGGAGGTGGAAACATCATTCTTTGGGGATGCTTTTCTGCAAAGGGGACAGGACGACTGCACCGTATTGAGGGGAGGATGGATGGGGCCATGTATCGCGAGATCTTGGCCAACAACCTCCTTCCCTCAGTAAGAGTATTGAAGATGGGTCGTGGCTGGGTCTTCCAGCATGACAACGACCTGAAACACACAGCCAGGGCAACTAAGGAGTGGCTCCGTAAGAAGCATCTCAAGGTCCTGGAGTGGCCTAGCCAGTCTCCATACCTGAACCCAATAGAAAATCTTTGGAGAGAGCTGAAAGTCCGTATTGCCCAGCGACAGCCCCGAAACCTGAAGGATCTGGAGAAGTTCTGTATGGAGGAGTGGGCCAAAATCCCTGCTGCAGTGTGTGCAAACCTGGTCAAGACCTACAGGAAACGTATGATCTCTGTAATTGCAAACACAGGTTTCTGTACCAAATATTAAGTTCTGCTTTTCTAATGTATCAAATACTTATGTCATGCAATAAAATGCTAATACATTTTTTCTCTCCCTTGTTTCAGCTCATAAAACAATTTTGTGCGTACAGGTAACTGCCAAAATAAAGGAAACCCCAACAAGGTGTCTTAAAAGGGTGTTGGGCCAGAACAGCGTCAATGCACCTTGGCATAGATTCTGCAAGTGTCTGGAACTCTTGGCGGGATGTGGTGCCATTCTTCAGTGAGAAATTCCGTGATTTGGTATTCTGTTGTGGAAAACGCTGTCTCAGTCGCTGCTCCAGAATCTCCCGTAAGTGTTCATTTGGGTAGAGCTCTGGTGACAGACGAATATGGTAGGGGTAGGCAACTAGATTCAGCTGTGGGCTGATTTATATACATTTTTTTGGGGGGGGTTGGAGCGGATGTCCGGAACACAATTATTTGTACACTGCAAATTGACCACAACTAAGGGCAAAAAGATTGCATTTGAAAATAACACTTTCATAACGATCACGTCTCTTATATTTGTGGGAATACTTGAACAGATTTCCTAAAAAAAAAATTTTTGGGGGGGGAACACCTGTTGCTGACCACTGGCATATGGTTTTCATGCTCATCAAACCAATCTGTGACCTCATGCCATGTGGATGAGGGCGTTGTAGTCCTATGGGGTCGTAGCCAAAATAATGGCCTGCCCAGCATTTTTATACATGACCCTAGTCATGATGGGCTGTTAATGGCTGAATTAACTCAGGAACCGAACCTGTGTGGAAGCAATATACTTTGTATCCCTGTGTTTCCATTATTTTGGCAGTAACCTGTATATTTGAATTCCAAAATGAAACAAGGTAACATAAAACAGCATAATCAACAAACACCAAAACAAATTGGAAAGAGTATCTGAAACAGGAACAGTATCATGTCGGAATTGTATCTGATAGTTTAGTGAGAGACTACAACACCAATAGGTATGCTATTTAGGAGTCTGGAAAAGTATTTAATAGAAGACCGGTCCAAACTGAGACAAATTGCCAAGACCCAGACAGCTGAATCACAGCCTTCTGTGCCCAAATACTGGATTGTTTTTGTGTGCACATGCTCTCCTTCATCAGAGGAACTGCATCTATGTCCTGCTCTTGACGTCTGTCTGGCCTACCATGCATGCCTTGGTTATCTGCTACTGTTTCCCAACCCTTGGCACCCTTGCCCTTCGCTTGCCTATTTCTGGACCATGAGGCTGTAGCTGGAAGAGATAACGGAGAAAACCAGCTCACTGCGGCTTTCTCCTCTCTGGACGAGACCAACCCTACTGTGCCTAACCAATACTGGTCCATCTGCTCGTCGTGTACCTGATCTTACCTTATTCTTCCTACTCTGCCTTCTACCGTTTTCATTGATCTAAGAGGTAGGTACAATTTGAAGAGTGCCAACCTTTGTATTTGTTGAGGGAGCTGTAACCAACTGTGCTGACGTTTGTAGCATATGTAACTAGTAACAATTTGTAGCATTTGTAACGATCACTTCCATTTCTTGAGGATAATTGATGATAGCCTCAAATCTGTGCCTCTGTCTTCTGTGACTCCTGCTTCTAGTCTAAAGGCTGGTTTTGCAGAGGCCTATTGAAGGCCACTCTTAATTTATAATGGGTTCAGTGTGGTGTCTGCCACCAGTCCCACTCCCCACAAACCTACCTGTCCTAGAGGCCAAATGAGATCACTTGGCTCACAAACTGGATGAGCTCTCCAGTACCTGCTCCACCTGCAGTCTGCACAGCGGCCAGTGAGAGGCGACAGAGAGACAGCTTGTGGCCCAGTTCAGGCTGATAGAGAACTTGGAGAAAACGATCAGTGAGACGCATAGGACCTTAGAGGGCCTGACCAAAGGTAACGTGTTCAATCGCTTTGAAATAACACATGGAAGTATTGTATCATTATTCACAAGCTTATATATATATATATATATATATATTACCAGTCAAAAGTTTGTCAATATTTGTACTGTACTATTTTTTTTATAGCCACCCTTTGCCTTGATGACAGCTTTCCCTCATCAATCCACACACAATACCACTCCTGCGTTGTCTTGGCTGTGTGCTTAGGGTCGTTGTCCTGTTGGAAGGTGAACCTTCACCCCAGTCTGAGGTCCTGAGCGCTCTGGAACAGGTTTTAATCAAGGATCTCTCTGTACTTTGCTCCGTTCATCTTTCCCTCGATCCTGACTAGTCTCCCAGTCCCTGCCGCTGAAAAACATCCCCACAGCATGATGCTGCCACCACCATGCTTCACCGTAGGGATGGTGCCAGTTTTCCTCCAGACGTGACGCTTGGTATTCAGGCCAAATAGTTCAATCTTGGTTTCATCAGACCAGAGAATCTTGTTTCTCATGGTCTGAGAGTCTTTAGGTGCCTTTTGGCAAACTCCAAGTGGGCTGTCATGTGCCTTTCACTGAGGAGTGGCTTCCTTCTGGCCTCTCTACCATAAAGGCCTGATTGGTGGAGTGCTGCAGAGATGGTTGTCCTTCTGGATGGTTCTCCCATCTCCACAGACGAACTCTGGAGCTCTGTCAGAGTGACCATCGGGTTCTTGGTCACCTCCCTGACAAATGCCCTTCTCCCCCGATTGCTCAGTTTGGAAGCTCTAGGAAGAGTCTTGGTGGTTCCAGACTTCTTCCATTTAAGAATGATGGAGGCCACTATGTTCTTGGGGACCTTCAATGCTGCAGACATTTTTTGGTACCTTTCAACTGTGGGACCTTTCCAAATCATGTCCAATGAATTTAATGTACCACAGGTGGACTCCAATCAAGTTGTAGAAACATTTCAAGCATGATCAATGGAAACAGGATGTACCTGAGCTCAATTTCGAGTCTCATAGCAAAGGGTTTGAATAGTTATATGAATAAGGTATTTCTGTTGTAGTTTTTTAAATACATTTTTATGTTTTTTTTATATACAAACCTGTTTTCACTTTGTCATTATGGGGTATTGTGTGTAGATTGCTGAGGATTTTTATTTATTTAATCCATTTTAGAATAAGGCTGTAACGTAACAAAATGTGGAAAAAGTCAAGGGGTCTGAATACTTTCCAAAGGCACTGTATACAGTATATGACAAAACATGAAATCATTTTGTTGATGATTGGTCAGCGGCCCACAATGTTTGATGCTCAAACAGCCTCTGTTTCTGTTTGATACTGTATGTGCTCTCATGCTCAGGATGTCATCCGAAATCTGTTGGAGACAAACAGACACCAGGATAAGAAACAACTCCTATCACCCATGCAACGAAAGGTAACTATATTTATACTCAATGAGCTCAAGACAATGCAGGTGACCAATATCCAGGATGGATTTGATTGGTGTGTTATGTGTGATTTGACAGAGACAGATACAATGAAACATTGACAAGGCTGGCTGTAGTGGCTGGCCATTCAATGGTGCACACTCAAAAGACTCAGATGAGGACCACAGTGACGGAGAACCAAGAGGCCACGCCCTCACACCCCGCCCCCAAGCCACAAAAGGATGAGACCCCGAATCAGTTGGAAACGAACAGACAGCAGGATGCAAAACAACACACTCCTACCACTGCTGCAAAGAAAGGTTCATTTGATCTATATGACTATAGTCAATAGATGTTAGTCACCTCAATTTAGCCATAGTCACTCTCTAGACCTCTGGATAAATTGAAGTGACCAAAATCTGTGGATGCGATGGGTGTTTTTATGTGTTATATGATAGACAGGTACAATGAAAACATTGACACATGAATGTCTGTAGGTATGGGAGCAGAGTGATCAAGGGTTTTTCTTTATTTTTTACAATTTTCTATGAAATAATACATATGGAATCATGTAGTAACCAAAAAAGTGTTCAACAAATCAAAATATATTTTATATTTGAGATTCTTCAAAAAGCCACCCTTTGCCTTGATGACAGCTTTGCACACTCTTGGCATTCTCTCAACCAGCTTCACCTGGAATGCTTTTCCAACAGTCTTGAAGGAGTTCCCACATATGCTGAGCACTTGTTGGCTGCTTTTCCTTCACTCTGCAGTCCAACTCATCCCAAACCATCTCAGTTGGGTTGAGGTCGGGGGATTGTCGAGGCCAGGTCATCTGATGCAGCACTCCATCACTCCTCCTTGGTACAATAGCCCTTACACAGCCTGGAGGTGTGTTGGGTCATTGACCTCTTGACAAACAAATGATAGTCCCACTAAGCCCAAACCAGATGGGATGGCTTATCGCTGCAGAATGCTGTGGTAGCCATGCTGGTTAAGTGTGCCTTGAATTCTAAATAAATCACAAACAGTGTCACCAGCAAAGCACCCCCACACAATCACACCACCTCCTCCATGCTTTACGGTGGGAAATACACATGCGGAGATCATCCGTTCACCCACATCGCATCTCCCAAAGACACGGCGGTTGGAACCAAAAATCTAAAATTTTGACTCCAGACCAAAGGACACATTTCCACTGGTCTAATGTCCATTGCTCGTGTTTCTTGGCCCAAGCAAGTCTCTTCTTATTATTGGTGTTCTTTAGTAGTGGTTTCTTTGCAGCAATTCGACCATGAAGGCTTGATTCACACAGTCTCCTCTGAACAGTTGATGTTGAGATGTGTCTGTTACTTGAACTCTGTGAAGCATTTATTTGGGCTGCAATTTCTGAGGCTGTTAACTCTAATGAACTTATCCTCTGCAGCAGAGGTAACTCTGGGTCTTCCTTTCCTGTGGCGGTCCTCATGAGAGCCAGTTTCATCATAGTGCTTGATGGTTTTTGCGACTGCACTTGAAGAAACTTTCAAAGTTCTTGACATTTTCTGTGTTGACTGACCTTCATGTCTTAAAGTAATGATGGACTGTCGTTTCTCTTTGCTTATTTGAGCTGTTCTTGCCATAATATGGACTTGGTCTTTTACCAAATAGGGCTATCTTCTGTATACCCCCCCTACCTTGTTACAACACAACTGATTGACTCAAACGCATTAAGAAGGAAAGAAATTCCACAAATTAACTTTTAAGAAGGCACACCTGTTAATTGAAATGCATTCCAGGTGACTATATCATGAAGCTGGTTGAGAGAATGGCAAGAGTGTGCAAAGCTGTCGTCAAGGCAAGGGGTGGCTATTTGAAGACTCAAATATAAAATATATTTTGATTTGTTGAATACTTTTTTGGTTACTACCTGATTCCATATGTGTTATTTCATAGTTTTGATGTCTTCACTATTATTCTACAATGTAGAAAACAGTAAAAAATAAAGACAAACCCTTGAATGAGTAGGTGCTCTAAAACGTTTGACCGGTAGTGTGTATATATATATATTATTTATTTCCAGGTACATATTTGTATGTTGACATTTGCCTGTGGTGTTCTCTCAGGAAAGGGCGAATAATGAGATGCAGGTGATGAACCAGCTGAGTCATCCTAACATCCTCCAGCTCTACGAGGCCCTTGAGGCCAAGCACCAGCTGGTGTTAATTCTGGAATAGTAAGTTGCTACTATTCCTTCATATTCCATTATGCTATTCCTTGTCATGATCTCCATTACACTGTAGTGCTTCCAGACATTCTACATATAATTTAACAGGGATCAATAAATGAACAATTCATTAATATACTTTACTGATCTCCTGAGGGGAGATTTGGTTTACTGGCAGCATACACTAAAGAACAAAATACAGACGATCAGAGGCATACATACAGTAGCCAGAATCACCACAAATATGGATACATGATGAAACAAAGTGCATTACATATACCTTAAACAAAAGTACACAATGGAAAGGGGTGAAAGGAGCAGTGGAGTTGGTCAACGTGCTGTCTGTGTGTGGCAGTGTTGAGGGCGGAGAGCTGTTTGAAAGGATCGTGGATGAGAGTGCACCACTGACCGAGGAGAATTCCCTGGTGTTTGTCAAGCAGATCTGTGAAGGGGTCAGCTACATGCATCAGATGTACGTCCTCCACCTCAACCTGAAAGTGAGTATGGTGGACTGGATGTGCATTGTCTCAAACCAGATTTTAAGGCTCACCACCAACTGTCACAAATGCCAGGCACATTTTAATCACCACTTAAAGCACTGCGTGGTCACTCACCATGAATCAAAGAGGCACTCATACATGTGTCGGTGTGAGAAAAGTAATCAATGGTTCATTTATCCACTACAATGTTTACAGCCGGAGAATATCCTTTGTGTAAATCACACTGGCCATCAGGTGAATATTATTGACTTTGGGCTGGCCAGAAGGTAATGCCTCCTTTCTCTTCAGCTGTGTGTGTGTTGGGGGCTTTATTGGTAGCAGCTCTGTCAAAGATAACCTTGAAAATGAATGTTCTTTCTTCCTGGGAATCAGATACAGGCCTCGATAGAAGCTCAGAGTCAATTTTGGAACCCCTGTATTTTTGGCCCCAGAGGTGGTAAACTTTGACTTTGTGTCCTTCCCCACAGATATGTGGACCTTAGGGGTCGTCACTTATATGCTGTGAGTCTAAAATACACTACATGGACAAAAGTATGTGGACACCTGCTCGTCGAACATCACATTCCAAAATCATGGGCATTAATATGGAGTTGGTCCCTTTCTTTGCTGCTATAACAGCCTCCACTCTTCTTGGAAGGCTTTTCACTCGGTGTTGGAACATTGCTGCAGGGACTTGCTTCCATTCAGCCACAAGAGCATTAGTGAGGTCGGGCACTGATGTTGGGCGATTAGGCCTAGCTTACAGTCGGCGTTCCAATTCATCCCAAAGGTGTTCGATGGGGTTGAGGTCAGGGCTCTGTGCAGGCCAGGCAAGTTCTTCCACACTGATCTCGACAAACCATTCTGTATGGACCTCGCTTTGTGCACAGGGGCATTGTCATGCTGAAACAGGAAAGGGCCTTCCCCAAACTGTTGCCACAAAGTTGGAAGCACAGAATCTTCTAGAAGATTTCCCTTCACTGGAACTAAGGGGCCTAGACCAAACCATGAAAAACAGCCCCTAAAAAAAAAACAGCACTATGCATTCGGGCAGGTAGCGTTCTCCTGGCATCTGCCAAACCCAGATTTGTCTGTCGGACTGCCAGATGGTGAAGCGTGATTCATCACTCCAGAGAATGCGTTTCCACTGCTCCAGAGTCCAATGACGGCGAGCTTTACACCACTCCAGCTAACACTTGGTATTGCGCATGGTGATCTTAGGCTTGTGTGCGGCTGCTCGGCCATGGAAACCTGTTTCATGAAGCTCCTGACAAACAGCTATTGTGCTGACGGTGCTTCCAGAGGCAGTTTGGAACTCGGTAGTGAGTGTTGCAACCGAGAACAGACGATTTTTACGCGCTACGCGCTTCAGCATTCGTCGGTCCCGTTCTGTGAGCTTGTGAGGCCTACCACTTGGCGGCTGAGCCATTGTTGCTCCTAGACGTTTTCACTTCATAATAACAGCACTTGCAGTTGACCGGGGCAGCTCTACTAGGGCAGATATTTTACGAACTGACTTGTTGGAAACGTGGCATCCTATGACGGTGCCACGTTGAAGGTCACTGAGCTCTCTACTGCCAATGTATGTCTATGGAGATTGCATGGCTGTGTGCTCGATTTTATACACCTGTCTGCAACGGGTGTGGCTGAAATAGCCGAATCCACTAATTTGAAGTGGTGTCCACATACTTTTGTGTATATAGTGTACCAGCGTCATATTCCCTAACATCTCAGTTATACTGTAAATTGTACTGGGCAAATGTTGTTCCACGTAAGTCACATTTTCACTTGGTCTCCCATTGACATCAATACATGACTAAGTAAAAATGTGACTTAAGTGGAAGTTAGGATTCACCCCCATGTCCCTACCGTGCTCTTTCATTGTGACCTGTGTCCCTGTGTAAGTGCATGCAGCACTTCCTTCCTCTCACCCTTCCTGGGTGACGATGACTGCCAGACCCTCAACAACATCCTCTCTGCCAACTGTTCCTTTGAGGACGAGGCCTTTGAGCACATCTCAGCGGAGGCCAAGGAATTTATCTCCCACCTTCTGGTCAAAGAGAGGGGGTGAGGGCCAAAACCGAAATAATAATCATAACATTTATGATTATTACAGTTTAATAGTAATACTTCTACCCATTTCCCTGTTTGGCCAGAGGGCGAATAAGTGCTGCAGTGTGTCTAAGACATCCGTGGCTCAACAACATTGCAGAGAAGGCCAAGGGCAGCAATATAATACTGAAGTCCCAGGTTCTGCTGAAGAAATACCTGGCCAAGAGACTATGGAAGGTCAGTCCAACAGATTTCCTACACCACACACGTTAGTGTGGTTCATTTTGTGGTTGGAAGACACATTGTTCACATTACAGTACAGTTTTGTCATCTTCGCACTGCAATCAGCTTCATGTAAATGTTTTCTGGTCTACCAGTTGATGAGATGCAGCGAAGCTTCCTGCCTTGCTCACTGTATGTTGTAAATGTGCTTCTGTGCTTGTTGATAGCTGCTGCTATCGCTATGTAGTTTTTCTAACAGATTCAAGAAGATCAGCGGCGCTGGGGAACAGACCTCTCTGGATACAGTACCTATAGCAACGTAACAATGTCACCCATAAGTACAGTACCTACACTGCAACCTAAGAATGTCACCCACCGTGAACCTGACCTCTTCCGTTGGACTGCATACTTTCCCTCACAATCAGTCAGAAGATCCTCTTGTCTTGGTCTGTCTGGGTAAAATAAACGGGTGATGGTGTGTGATTAAATAGTGGCTACGCTACATCATTTGACTCATAAAATTAACAAAAATGTTGTTCTTTAATATTTGTACCTTTTTGTGTGGAAATGTATGGAAGCAAATTCATGCCAAAACAAATTACATTACATCTATAGAGGAAATGTGCTCGATAGTGAAATAAAGAGAAACCTATCCAATCTAAGGGGTACTTTATTGTTTACATTCTGACAATAAGAAAATGCTTCAAAGATAATATGATAAGAGCAATTCTTATTTTGTAACTTCTTCTATATGGTGATGGTACAAACAGCTAGAGCATAGTCCTAAGAGCTAACGGGGATGTTATGCCTGCCTAAATAGTAGCTAATTTTACTGCAGGCAACACTGCAATTCAATTCAATAAAATCACCATTTAATATAATATAATGGGAACTTAACTATTGTGCTAACATCCCTTCGTCAATATGCTAAGCTAACCTCAAAACAAATCTATTACTGAAGTGTGCGTTCGTTGAACTGACAAAAATAAACTCTAAAAATTATATGAAGAGTAACAAGTTGCTCTTTTCTGAGGTAGTCAACGGTCACGTTCCAGGCCGACTACATTGCAGACAGGTGCACTGCATCAACCAATGGTTGCGTGTTACGTCATCGACTGCACAGCCGGGCATCAGATTGCTATATCATATGTGGTTGGCAGATATCTTAAAACACCTATCCAGGCGTTGTGAGATCTGGCAGGCATCTGCAATGTAGTCAATCTGGAATGCGGCAAACAAGTATAAAATAAACATGGCTGTGGAACAGATATCTACATATCAGGATAGGATACAATACATGAGTACTGGTAAAAGAGACAATGTTCAAGGAGATGTTATCCAACATTTTCCGTACTGCGTGTTACATTTCTTGTTACATTTTTAGATTACACTTACCGGTGACAGAATATGGCAGAAAAAAATGACATACTATAATAGGATAAGATAGAGGTAGAAAGTTTATGGGTCAATCAATGTCACTGTCTGTTGTATCTAAACAAAAAGGCAACTAGATTCATTAAATCTACATTTTCACTTGAGATCTAATGGCACAACTCAGAGCCAAAGTAACTGGGAAAGATATAGGCCTACCCTAACCCCACAGGACATAATTCTGTTTATCCGTTCATCTAGGAGAGCATGTTGTTGAGGTAAAAGGAACAAAACATTTCATAAGACATCAATTCTCTCCTTTCATAATGTCATAAGTGCTTTAACACAGTCGAGAGTAGACATCCAAGAGGCACAACAGTAGCATTTTTTAAGACATCGGTGCAAACATTTCACTGAATACAGGATACAGTCAATGATATGCAGTAATATGAAACCCATTTCAGGAACACTCTAAAGAAGTGTTTGCCAAACCTCTCCTCGAGTACCCCCTGCCAATCCACTTATTTGGTCTATACCAGAACAAGCACAGCTGATTCAAATGGTCAACTTAAGCAATAAGGCCCGGGGAGGTGTGGAATATGGCCAATAAACCACAGTTAAATGCTGATCTTACGCGCGACCCAACACGGAGTGCCTGGATACAACCATTAGCCGTGGTATATTGGCCATATACCATAAACCCCTGAAGTGCCTTATTGCTATTATAAACTGGTTACCAACGTAATTAGAACAGTAAAATAAATGTCATACCAATGGAATACGGTCTGATATACCATGGCTTTCAGCCAAGCAGCATTTAGGGCTCAAACCACCCAGTTTATAATAATAATCAAGCTCTTAATTACTTGAATCCGGTGTGCTAATACTGTCTGGAACAGACCAAATAAGTGGAATGGGGTACTGGGAAGAGGAAACTTCTTTAAAGGAACTTAAAAATTAAACGTCTCTAGTTTTTGTATAAATAAGCATTACATGATGACACATAAGTACACTGTTATGCAAACTGCTGTTAAATATCTAGCATGACCATTGTCATAAAAGTGACTCACATTATTGAAAAAAAAAGATGAGTGGCAGGTGTCATGTAGCACATATGTTCACATTGTATAGGCCTGATGCGATTGAAAGCATTTACACCACATTACCAAAAGTATGTGGACACCTGCACATCGAACATCTCATTCCAAAATCATGAGCATTAATATGGAGTTGGTCCTCCCTTTGCTGCTATTACAGCCTATTCTACTCTTCTGGGAAGGTTTTCCACTAGATGTTGGAACATTGCTGCGGGGACTTTCTTCCATTCAGCCACAAGAGCATTAGTGAGGTCGAGCACTGATGTTGGGCGATTAGGCCTAGCTCGCAGTCAGCGTTCCAATTAATCCCAAAGGTGCTCGATGGGGTTGAGGTCAGGGCTCTCTGCAGACCAGTCAAGTTCTTCCACACTGATCTCGACAAACCATTTCTGTATGGACCTCGCTTTGTGCACGGGGGCATTGTCATGCTGAAACAGGAAAGGGCCTTCCCCAAACTGTTGCCACAAAGTTGGAAGCACAGAATCATCTAGAATGTCATGGTATGCTGTAGCGTTAAGATTTCCCTTTACTGGAACTAAGTGGCCTAGCCCGGACCATAAAAAACAGCCACAGACCATTATTCCTCCTCTACCAAACTTTACAGTTGGCACTATGCATTGGGGCAGGTAGTGTTCTCTTGGCATCCGCCAAACCCAGATTTGTCCGTCGGACTGCCAGATGGTGAAGCGCGATTCCTTACTCCAGAGAACGCGTTTCCACTGCTCCAGAGTCCAATGGCGGCGAGCTTTACACCACTCCAGCCGACACTTGGCATTGCGCATGGTGATCTTCGGCTTGTGTGCGGCTGCTCGGCCATGGAAACCCATTTCATGAAGCTCCTGACGAACGGTTCTTGTGCTGACTTTGCTTCCAGAGGTAGTTTGGACCTTGGTAGTGAGTGTTGCAACCAAGGACAGGCGATTTTTTCACGTTCAGCCACAAGACTATTAGTCAGCACTTACAGTTGACCGGGGCAGCTCTAGCAGGCAGGGCAGAAATTTGACGAACTGACTTGTTAGAAAGGTGGCATCCTATGACGGTATCACGTTGAAAGTCAATGAGATCTTCAGTAAGGCCATTCTACTGCCAATGTTTGTCTATGGAGATTGCATGGCTGTGTGCTCGATTTTATACACCTGTCTGCAACGGGTGTGGCGGAAATAGCTGAATACACTAATTTGAAGGGTGTCCACATACTTTTGTATATATAGTGTATGTATCACTTGTGTATTCAGGTCATTCTAGACCAGGGATGGGCAACTGGCGGCCTGCGGGTCGCACCCCTTTTGTAGGCCCGCGGATCAATTCCCCCCCACTCTTGGTAAGTTAGTCTAGCCAGCTATCTAAACCTGTAGTAATCATGGCCGAATTACCGACCGGGGGGCCCCCATTGATTTTATTAGTCAATCTCACTCAGATATATTAAAAACTGCACATATCTCTCTCTGCCCCATGGTAAAATGTCTAGAATTGCAGGAAATTAACTCTAAAACTTCATTTCTTTCCTCTCCGCTGTCAAGAGGGGGACAACAAAATGTCACTTGCCCATCCCTGTTCTAAACACTCATAATGTATCGGAGGCTTTATTCATGATTATTTGAAGTGTCCTTTGGCCTGGTGTTAGGTCACATGGGTCACATGGTATCAGGCTGCTCACTGTTGAAAGGCCTGGTAGTAGCGAGGTAGGGAGGTGGAAGTGCTCATTCCAGGGTTGCTGAACCCCTGAGGTAGCTGGTTGTTGTTGTGGTTGTGGGCTCCGGGACCCTGGGGTGCGTGTGGTTGTGGAGGCTGCAGGAAGGTGAGGCCTCCTGGGGCGTGAGAAGGCAGGGGACTGGAGGAGGAGGGCGGCACAGTGGAGGTGGAGGTAGAGGGGTAGCCCATCACAAGACCTCCCATACTCATATGAGCACTGTAGGGAGGCAGGCCGAACGGCAGGAAGCCCAGAAGAGGACCCAGGTCCATGTTAGCAGCGCATGACAGCTCGGCCGAGGAGAGAGCGGGGCTCCTGGACAGAATGTGGGGGTCCCCAGCCCCAGGCCCACCCTGGCCTTCCGAGAGCACCTCCCTCTGAGGGGAGGAGGAGGTAGAGGAGGAGGCTGCGGTCAGGTGTGGGGGCAGCCCACTCTGCAGGTCCATGAGAAAGCTCTCCATGTCAGGGCGGGGGTATGAGGTAGATCCATGCTGGTACCTGGGCATGTGGCCATAAGGCTGCTGTTGGTGCTGGGGTCTGGGGGAGGTGGGGGTGGGGATGGGGAGTGGGGCCCGGCATGTGACGACCCACCCCCATGGCCGTGGACAGGGAACTCTGCATGAGGGAGTGTTGGTGGTGGCCCATGCCTGGATTGGACATGGTCTGCAGGGGATAGCTACTGTACATGTCCATGGGGAAGGTCTCTATGGGCTCCTTTGAGGAGGACCCCATGTCACATGACACCGGACTCTGCTCCTCCTTTACGGGGCCAGGTGTGGTGGGGGCAGGTGTGGCTGTGGGGGTGGTGGGTGTGGCCTCCTGGACGTGGCTCTTCTTCAGGTGGCGCGTCAGATGGTCCCTGCGGCCAAAGCGCTGGGCACACCGTGGGCACAGGAAGTCGCGGCGGCCCGTGTGCACCACAGCGTGGCGCCGCACATCCTTGCGGGTGTAGAAGCGTCGGTCGCAGCGCTCGCACGAATATTTCCTCTCCCTGATGGCGCCGGTGGCACCCCCCAGAGGCTGAGGCCTGTCGTTGTGGCTTCCTAGCTGCTCCAGCAGGGTGGGCTCCCCCTCCTGGCAATGGAGCTCACCAGAGAGGGAGGCGGGGGTGTGGGTGGCCAGAAGGTGGCGCCGGTAGCCCAGCTGAGTGCTGTACTGTTTGCCACACTCCTGGCAGTGGAACACCTGCCTGTTGGCGTCGTGGGCCTGCAGGTGGCTCTTCAGGTGCTCCTTCTGTTGGAACATCCTCTAGCAGACGGAAAGGCGCTGGGTCTTCTGCAGAGAGCGAAGGGCCATAAGCCTGAGCAGACGGACACAACACTCATGGGGTATTTTAAGAGAGGACCTTCAAACTTGATAACCTTGGCTGCACCCTTAATGGAGAGTGGGGTGTTGAGTGCTGCTGAATGCTGCTAGTGGAGTGTTTCGTATTCTCTCCAGGCGAGGGTCTGTCCGCCTGTCTCCCTTTCCAGTGCAAGCTTCTATCAGATGGGGGGGTTCTGCAGCAGCAGCTGCCATAGCAACCCAATAGGGCCTGGGCGATGAAAGGAGAGGAGTCACACACTCAGCCGTTAAAGCTCGGACTGGATGTGTATGAGCGTACCTGAGCTTGTGTGAGTTGTATGTGCGTGTGAATGTGTGTGTGTCTCTCCGGAGGGTAATTCTTGGGTAAGTTGTGTGGTTCTTCTCCCGGTCTCATCCAGCCACTCCAGCCAGAGAAGCGGTTGAATTTGAGTGGCAGTTCTGCATGATCACAGCCCTATAAAGAAACACAAATAAGCACAGATCAGCCTACAGTTGTTGTGTGATGAAATTACCCACAGTCACACTGATGCCTGACACACCCCATGTATAGGACCCACCCAAAGCAATGCACTTCACATTAAGTTGCCCCTATACCTGTGTAATAACCATAGACATACGTCATTGGTAGTAACACTGTAATTACATAGAACTTCAGTAATTACTTTGAAATTGTAAAGTAATGGAGTTGAGCGGTTTTTGCAATTACAAAAGTGAAAAAAGGAAAACTAACAATAAGTTGAAGTTCAGGATTTAGTACAGCTATGGTTATAATTGTGGAAGTGCAACAGATCAATATTCAGGCCATAGTGCCCTCTTGTGGAAATTGGGTGGCATGATATGAGCCAAGGTTTTCTATACTAGAAAATTATAACTACAAAAGCGCCTCTGATCTCAACACAAAGTAAAACAAGGTATGTTAGTTTCACTTGGAAACTAATCAAGCGTCTAAATACAACGAACATATTCATCAGCAACTCGAGCTGCTCAACCTGTATATGATGTTTAAAAAACACATTTATGAAACACAAAGACTATTTAATTCACGTTACGTTAGTCAATTAGAATATAGAGTAAACTGAAAACTAAATACATGGGACTAGCTAATGTAATTCATGATCAATGATAGAAAAAAACGTAATGGGTGCACGTAGTGCGAAAATAAGGACTTGATGATAACATTAAAAAAACCATTTTTTAACACTTTTGTATTCTGAACATTTGGTGAGCGCCAGCGAAACAGTTATGCTTTTCATTATTACTGATAGTAATTAACAGAAATAGACATATTGAACTACTATTTGAAAACTGCAAAAGAAATTCAGCAAGTTCATGTCACGAAGTTGCTCGGCATGAGTCGATTTTTACTATCAGGCTGGCAGACTTATATTTGGGACCTTTCTGTTAAAAATTGGGTAAACGTACCTTTAAAACTTTCGCGATTCGGTTGTTGTTCCTTTTCTCTCAGATCTTTTGTAAAACTATTTTATTATTTTCGGGGCCTGGATTTTCCAGCGCGGCGCTGTAGTTTCAGAGCGCGTGCATTATGGGAGTGTGACGTCAGACACACCGCTTTGACAAACTTTTGCAGGGGTTGCTAAATACGGTTCACCAACACTGATTGACCTCGTATGCAATACTATACATCATATTAAACTTTAACACATATGACAATATGGCCCTATGTGCCCCACATCATGATACTATACAAGAAGAGAAGATGATGGAGGGAGCTAATCTTTTCCATCTGATTTTCTGGTCATAATCTGGTAATACAACCTAAATCCATGTTGCAAACAGTTCCTCGATGAAGAACTTTGTTGAACTGTTTGCAGTATGGATTTAGGTTGCATTAGTTGTGGAGTAAGTTTGTATAGCCTACTGTTCAAGTTTTTGTAATTTTCTTGTATTATGTATAGATAGCTTCCAATTATATCACCATGTCAATCTCACAAACTGTCTGTCCAGATTTGTGGTTACATTTCCCTCAGTTTACAAAACAATGTGTCAGGATCAGGCTGTTGAAATTACAGGTTGTACCTATTTTACTAAGGTAAATATATGTATGTTTTAATGTGGATGTTCTCTGTGTGACTTCATTTTGGGACATGGTCAATCATAATTATTAGTACTATATTTATTACAGACTATAATCAGTTAGTGTTTGATAATAACCTCAATTATTTTATTCGCCTCTCACCCCAATTTTTGTGTGTGCTAAATCACAGGCAGACAAGGCTAACAGACAGTTATTTGAACTGCTCCCACCATGCCGATGACTTGAGGGCAGCAAACTAGATAACTTGAACCTCAATGGAAACTATTTCTAACCATAATTTCTACGAATTTGGTATCAGAACGCATTTGTTGTAAACACTGCAGCATTATGTTCCCTTATGGTATGTATGTGAGTAATTAAAGAGTAGCCTATGAGTACAATTATGGAATTTAGTTTATTTTTTCTTGTTATTTTATTTTCTTAAAACATGTGGCATCTGATTTTTTTAATTTGTATATTTTTATTCATGTAGATCTCTGGCAGGTTACACGTTGACGTCATTGTGGTTCATTTTGCAGATAGTAGAGTAGTAGAGCCACAATGGCTTGTTCTCCGTCATTTCTCTCCCACTAGCGTTGGTTTGTAGCAGAGTAGCTAGATAGAGAGGGGGTGGGGAGAGTTGTTTTGTGTTGCGTTCCTGCAGTGTGTTTGACCCTTGACCTCGTTGTTGTGTTCTCTCCGCCTTGCATTCCAAAGTGAGGTTTCCTGCAGCAGTTGTAGCTTCAACAGACCAGAGGCGCTCGTAGCTGCTAGGGCTCGCTCGTTACTGCGCCCCCGTACGTGTTTACTAGCTAGCTTCTCACTAGCCTTCAGTCACGTTACATTGCATTAGGGTAGAACAACAATATTTTATATAAATGAATTAGCTCAACGAGGAACGTGCCTACCGAGGACGAGCGAGAAAACGTGCAACTGCGTGGTGGGAAGGCTGAGTTAGCGAAACATAGAGAAACCGCTCAGCTAACGTTAGCTTGCTAGTTCGGGGTTTCCTGACCCACCGAAGCTATTGCAACTGCTGGTGGAGAGGCGCAACCGAGAGAGGATAGCTAGCTACTAGAGGGAGGAAATGAAGGACAAACAGAAGAGAAAGAAGGAACGTACGTGGGCTGAGGCGGCTCGCATGGTAATATACTACTTATTATTAGTTGTAATTTAGTATGTACTGACAGCCCCTGTGCGACAGGGTAGACGAACAACACTCGGCAACCGAACAAAGATTGTTCAGAGCCTGGGCTGTCTGGTTGGCACTGCACGCAGCCCGCTAACGCTAGCTAGCGGGGAGTACTTCAACATTAAATCGCCAGCATGTTAACAATGGAATAAATACATGCATTGAGCCCCTAATAACGAAATACCTTTTTTTTATTCGCTATTCCGCGTGTGGCTGTAGCTAAACTAACCCTCATTGTTGACAAGCACATAGCTAGCTGGCTAACGTTAGGGGGTACGTCTGCCTTCCCGTTTGACCCTTTGTTTGCTAGCTAGCGAGTTAGCGTAACTCACTGTATTAGCAAGTTAATGTTAGCCAGACAACCACCATTCATTGAACATGTAGCTACATATATTTCCTAGGTATCCACCCAAACTGTTTCCCAGCTAACGTTAATTACACTATCTGTTCGTATTTTAACACATTTAGCCAGGCCCTTCTGTGGCTAGAGTCAACAAGGGTCAGGGGGGCATAACGTTAACGTTACCACCCCCAGTTTAGCTAATGTTAGCTATCTAGGTGGCAGCTAGCTACAACCATATAAAGATTGATAAAGCCGTCTTTATGTATCCATCATCATAGTTTTGGATAGCTAAGCTGGTGCATGCATGCAAATGTTTTTATGTAGCCATGTTGATAAATAAGCCAGCTAAAAAAGTAGCTTGTAGGCTACCACAATGGTATACAAATCATGTCTGTGTTCTTGTGTACTGCAAGTCCTCAATGCTGCTTTTTGACTGTAACACCAGTGTTACACTAGTGTATACACCCTTATGTAATACTAGGGAAATTATTTCCATAACTAGGGCTGCCAGTGAGGTTATGTGAAGAGCAGGAACCTCTGCATAATCAAAACAGTTGTGAGAATGTGTTAAAGTTCAGTCAGCCATTGTTATGTAAATACAAGCTGACAAGTACCAGTGGCCTGGCTTTGGCCTCAAGTGAGAGCAGATCCACCGGAGCATTGGCCCAATGAGACACAGGTGCCAGCCCGTAGATGGAAACAGAAAAGTCTGAGCCTTTTGGGTAAAACACAGGGGTAAATTCTGTTTGGAAATGCACCACAGACCCAGTGTTCTTCTATGGTTAGTGCATTCCTGGACCGTTGGGACATCCCTACCCTTACCAAACCTTAACCCTTACTTAACCATTTAAAATCCCAAATGTCATTCATTTCTCGGCCATGGATTCATCTGCTACAATACACAATATTCTCTATGCTTTGTAGAGGGGTCTAAATATCCAGGTCTCCTACACAATCATTATATTGCATCAGAAAGTATTTGGATTGTGTGTGTGTGTGTGTGTGTTAGAAAAGGGATACAGGATTGGGAATGTCATGAGGCTGTTTATGTCATGCCAATCAGAACTGTCTTTATGCTGAGCAGGATGATCAGCCACCTACATTAGTTATGCAGAGCCCTAACACGGTGCACATTTACTGCTATAAACAGTCTGCATCTAGCAAAAGTCCATCCATTTCAATGGGAGGCAGTCTACTCTTCTGCGACTGCCAGACGAGGCTGCGTTGCATAGCAGTATCATTGGTGCTTCTTGGGGATCTTGAACTGGATGTAGTTAATTACATTTTACATTAAAGTCATTTAGCAGACGTTCTTATTCAGAGCGACTTACAGTTAGTGAGTGCATACATTTTTCAGACTGTCCCCCCGTGGGAAACAAACCCACAACCCTGGCGTTGCAAGCGCCATGCTCTACCAACTGAGCTACACGGGGCTACAATGACGCATTCTATTCAGTTCACATGGCTATAAATCCTACCATGTTTTATATTGTACATGCATACTGCAGATGCGTTATAGCTCAACTTTGGCTAATTTCTCCTTCCTAATATGGGTGTGAAAGTTACTTAGATGCACAGGGCCGCATTTTAGGATATGGCTCTGTTTCGTTGCCAGACCCTATCAAATCAAATGTTATTTGCCACATGCGCCGAATACAACAGGTCAGTGAACAACCTTACAGTGAAATGATTACTCACAAGCCCTTAACCAACCATGCAGTTTTAAGACAAGAAAAAGGGTGATAAGTAAAAAATAAAAATAGCAAATAATTAAAGAGCAGCAGTAAAACAAAATAACAGTAGGGAGGCTATATACAGGGGGGTACTGGTACAGAGTCAATGTGCGGGGGCACCGGTTAGTCGAGGTAATTGAGGTAATATGTACATGTAGGTAGAGTTATTAAAGTGACTATGCATAGATAATAAACAGAGAGTAGCAGCAGTGTAAAAGGGGGGGGGGGGCAATGCAAATAGTCTGGGTAGCCATTTGATTAGATGTTCAGGAGTCTTATGGCTTGGGGGTAGAAGCTGTTTAGAAGCCTCTTGGACCTAGACTTGGCGCTTCGGTACCGCTTGCTGTGCGGTAGCAGAGAGAACAGTCTATGACTAGGGTGGCTGGAGTCTTTGACCATTTTTAGGGCCTTCCTTTGACACCGCCTGGTATAGAGGTCCTGGATGGCAGGAAGCTTGGCCCCAGTGATGTACTGGGCCATACGCACTACCCTCTGTAGTGCCTTGCGGTCGGAGGCCGAGCAGTTGCCATTTCAGGCGGTGATGCAACCAGTCAGGATGCTCTCGATGGTGCGGCTGTAGAACCTTTTGAGGATCCATGCCAAATCTTTTCAGTCTCCTGAGGGGGAATAGGCTTTGTCGTGCCCTCTTCACGGCTGTCTTGGTGTGTTTGGACCATGATAATTTGTTGGTGATGTGGACACCCAAGGAACTTGAAGCTCTCAACCTGTTCCACTACAGCCCTGTCGATGAGAATGGGGGCGTTCTCAGTCCTCTTTTTTTTTCCCTGTAGTCCACATTTGCTGAGGCATACAGAAATGCCAGAACAATTAGTACATTACTGTTCTCTGCCTATCAGCATCCATGCACGCCATGGCAGTGCTACAAAGCTCTGTGCCATTTGGGGTTTTGACTGTGTGGAGAATGCATGTATTTATAAGCTAAGGCCCATATGTCACTGCCAATCCTTGTGGCGAGAATGTGTAGGCTAGGCTAGCTTTTGGGAGCATAAACAAGATTTATAGGCTGAGACTACTACAGGAGTCCAGTGTGTTCCGAAGCGTGTGCTATGCCATGCTAGGTTTGTGGGTAAAAGAAGCATGTTCAAACTGAGGACTTTTCTCATTTGCAGAGGCATACAGAAATGACCGACCAATTAGTGTCACAAGACATACACAGGCTTGAAACACACAAATACCTTGCACGCTCACACATTCAGATAGCTGAGGATGGGCAGGTGTGAACTTGTGCCAGTGGCAGGTTCTTTTATTTCTCCACAGATTGCAGAGAACCCTGATAGGTCTAACTTATTGACCATCTGGCCCCTTGAGTTCCTCGGGGACTGTTTTCCATTTTTTCTTTTTCTGCTGGGACAGGGACAAGGACAACAGAAATGTTACATTGATTGCCACATGTCGTAGCATTCTGTTATTCACCAACGGCTCACCTAATCATGGGGCATACGGTTTCTCTATTGGGATCTGCATCTTTAGTGTGCGTGTGGTTGGTGGAGCGCTTGGAGGCTTTGTCTGCTTGTCTCTCCCTGACCAAAATACCCTTCCTCTCTGTTCCATTTCCTGCATGCATGTCCTTGGGTTCATTTGAAGCAGCGCTCTACTACCAAGTCTGTATTATGTATTGTTCCTTCTCATGCATCCTGTCATGACGACACACGGAGAGGCGCTGGATCGATCTCACAACCCCAAGCACCTATCCATCTCAGGTCTTTTCATCTTCAGCATTGCAATTAATCAATAATTCACTGTATTTTTAAGTGAGTTGAGATGGCTTTTAAAACCACCAATGTTACTAGGCTATTAAGCTACATCGCCTGATAGATATTAATTGGTTCACCTAGAGTGATGGGCCTAGTTGTGGGTTCATTTTGTGTTGTTTACTATTTCTCTGTCTTAGCATATGGCTTCAATCTCCACATTCTGCTGGCAAAGCTTGAGTGGTTAACTCAGCTGTTTTAAGCATTTTAATAAATGCTTTTTAAAGTTTTAGCCACTGCCTTTCTGAGTCTTCCATTCATGAGGTATGGAGTTCGCATTTTGTTGATCTTTTGCACCCAATATTTCTGAAGCTGCTGTATTCACTGACTGGATGTATGGTACAGATTCATAGTTAGGAGTAAGCTAACCCATTCATAGAGGCTAACTACATTTAGCGCCTATTGAAGATACTATCTTCTGGCCGGGGGAGTTTTGTTTAGAGCCTCGATGCTCATTCTGAACATTAAAACACATCGCTTGCGTTACGGTTTTGGAAACAAAAGGAATGTGTCTTTCATCAGTGAGAAATAATTTAATAAAGGTAAAATTACTACACCTTTTTATAGGGTTAGTGTTTCCACACAGCCATATCTCCATGTTACTGCGCTTGTTTACAGAAGATGTAGGCGGCCACCTGTGCTAATTAGCTATCTAGTGTGCTCCGAACACCTGTGTGTTAGCGTAAATGGAGAGGAAGTGTAGTTTGTCAACTGGAGGCACACACAGCGTATGGATCTGTGCAAAACTGCTACAGTAAGTGTTTTTTTTTTATTTGAAAAATTCATTCTTGCTGATATGACAGATATGGGGAATATCAGCATATGTTTCGAAAACGATTTCGCAAGCGATGATTATTGACGTTAACCCTGAATGTTAAAACACAGTGTCAGAGATGTAGTTCACTAGGGCTGTCGCCCCCCCCCCCAAAAAAAATGTAGGTAGACCGAGAGTCGTCTGTTTTTCGACCAATTAATTGGTCAACATTTTTCCATATGTAGACACATCCTATGTGTCTTAGTCAAATCAACTAGCATGGACCTTGTCTGATGCTTTAGGCACACTGTTTGATGAAATAATTAAGACACACAAATGACCAGAGGGAGTCCGACCGCAATTGATTTGATTGTGCTGGATCGGGCTCAGACTTGCTGCACTGTAAAAAAGAAAAAAGCCAGTGACTATGTGACTAGCACCCGTTGTGTCTCTCTCGTTCCTGCTGCAGTGACCACCACAGAACATCAACAGTGTTTATCACGCTGTCCGTGTTGCTGAAGATGCAACATAATTACAGCCATTTCTGACTGAAAAGTTCTGTTACTGAAATCCCTCATTTGTTTAGGAAAAACATTCCCTATTCCCTCAAACCTTTCTCCATATCTCTTCAAGTGACACATGTATGCATCACATGCACGTGACCAACAGGGCCTGACCTATAGCATATCATAACCACAATAATAAATAGGTTATAACAAACGCCGAACACCGTAACACGTGACAGCAAAATGGATGCAGAGGACGTGACAAATAAACTCGAAACGGGGGAATGTTTACTGGTTGCTCAGGAGGTAAAGGGGAAGTCTGGTGTGTAGAATACATTTGACTAGTTGTGGAAAATACTGGAGATCAAGAAAAATAAGGTAAGGAGCAAGCGCTGCGTGCATATTATGTGTGCCAAACAGGTGCTGTTAGATTACAATATAATTTTTCTGATCGTTTGGAACTATGTAAACAACACAAAATAAATGATAAGCGTACCAGAGTCTCTTAATATTTTTGATTTTTTTGTAAATCCTTTATTACAGCAAAGACTAAAATCAGTCTAATTTATGATTGATTGCTACAGTACTGTAGCCTATATTATAAGTATTGAAATATAGGCCTAAGTAAGTTACGGTATTAAGACTAAACAGGATGTGCTCTGAGGCCTACAGCTCGATGGTGGTTATTCAAGGCTGCTATACTAAGCCTACTAATGATAATGACGTGACTTATTATTATAATGATGATCATAACAATAATAGTAATAATACCAATAAGGAGATCAAGAAAAATGAGGGTTATTATTATAAATAAATAAAAATCGGACAATTTGGAACTGTGTAAACACTAAATAAATTATAAATGATACCAGAGAGGCTGTTCTAATGAGGGGAAAAAAAGTGTAATGCCTTTATTACAGCATGGCAAAGATTAAAAACAGCCGAAGTTGTGATATTGTTTATCCGACTTGTTGTGGTTGCGTGAGGCTTGGTGCTCATAGAATCAGTAGGCTATTAAACAAACACTCAAACAGGCAACAGAAGCAGGATCTGTCTTATTTCTGTAGATATATATGGATGATTTATAAAGCCAGGCATATTTAAGTTAGGCTATTAATTATAGACCTAATTAAGTTGGGGTTTCCGCTCTCCTCACTTCTTAGACAATTAAGGCAAGGGCTGTTTTCTCATCTCCTAACTCCGCTGCTGCCTCCACCGCATTGTTCTCAACTCCAATATGCTGTTTAACTTTGCTATTATGCACATAGCAACATGGTCTAGGAAAAGGCGACCGCTATCCAACGCGGGAGAAAGCGCATTTGTTAAAAAATATTATGTTCATTAGTGTTGCACCATTGTTCTTAAGTTCTATAACCATATACAATTTCAGTAGCATGTCTTAGAGTGATGGTCTGTGCCATCCCTACAACCTCCACAGTGGATCAGTCCACTCAGACAGGTGCAAATCAGACAGGTGTCTTGTACACCAGTATTATTGTTTCTTTTATTTTTGCTACTGCTCGACTAAATAAATCCCGGTCGACTAAACAATCCACCAGTCGAATAAATGGGGTCAGCCCTAGTTCACACGCAGCCAACCGTGGGCGAAGCTAACCGCTGAAAACCCTACTGATTAATATTTTTTCAGAGATCTATGATTAGGCCTAACACTCAGATTTTCTGTGTGTGTTCATTACTTATTGTAATGTTCTTCCAGGTTCTAGAGAACTTCTCTGATGCCCCCATGACGCCCAAGCAGATCCTGCATGTTATCCAGACCAAGGGACTCAAGGAAATGAGGTAAACAAGCACCCCACACATTTAATTAACGCTGATCTCTACAGTAATATGTAACATATGTACAATAATACTATTGCTCATTTTATGTAAAATATGTCCATGAGAAGAAATGTTTCTAACTCACTTTCTAATTTTTCACCATTTCCCCATGATCTCTACCTGGCCTGATACACAATGTGTTCCACAAAAACAGAAGGTGAGATGGCACAATAACAAAGGGACAATATTTCCATTGTTTTTTTGGCTGTCTCTTTGCATACCATAGTATTACCTTGCAAGTTCACATTTTTTGTCTTTCTCTCACACTTGTGCTGCTTCTCACACTCATCTCCTCCGCTCTTCTCTGTCCATCAGTGGCACGGCCCCTCTGGCCTGTCTGGTGACCATGCTGCACTCCCAGGTGAGGGGGGACCGAGTGAAGAACAGCATCTTCTTCAAGCTGCCTGGCAGGATGAGTCTGTTCACTTTAAAGGTATGGAACCAGCGCACTCCACTCACCCATTCACCCACATACCTCTTATCCCTACCCCTTATAAACCTCATACAAACCCCTACCTGGAATACACACGCACACACGTTTCTGATAGCAGTCTCTTTTCTGACTGTCCCTCTGCAGAAGAACGCTCTGCAATGGACCAAGAGTTCGACAGAGGCGGAGACAGCTGACACCACCACACCGGCTACCGCTACCACTGCAACAGCAGGGCCAACGGAAGGGGTGGAGCAAGAGAGCTGTGACTCCATGGAAACGGTTGCGGCCAGCGGAGAGAATGACGGTGTGTATGGTCATGATCACCACATGCTTTTATCAGATATAATGTAGTGGAGGGTAAATGTACATAAATTCATTTTTTATTTGGTGTTTACATCTACTGTAAATTAGCGTTTACATTACTTACCGCTAGTGTTGTCACAATACCAGATTTCTTAGGGCTTACTTTTACCATAGCCTATACATAATGCAATAAGCATTATCATCTGTAGCCCAGTTGATGCAGCATAATGGCAAAATAAATAGGCTGAAGCACGAGATTGCATATATGTATACCCCATTGGGCTAACGCGCCTAACCATGCTGATGTACTCCGTTTTAAAACTGTGCAGTTTGCGCTCATTTTTAGGAGTTGTAGTAGCGATCCAAAGCTGGGATTCCCTTTTGTTTTTTTACAAAGGCCATCACAAGTTCTTTCAAATGCGTTTTCCCCATGATTGCATTAAGAAATGTTGTGCATCATTGACTGCTTATCAGAATGTTTCGGGAGTAATATTTATTTCTCGCATGGCACACACAACAACAAGCTGACTAGGTAAATAGGTCAACTATTCTACTATGAGGTTATCTGATTTGCTGTTCGTTACTCGTCTTGTTCAGACAAATTACTGGACCGACTTAATCCTCTGTCAGTGTATGACATGAGACACATTTGATAGAAGAACCAAAAGTAACACATTCCAGTACCGGACCATTTTTCAAGTTTCGGTACACCGTGCAACGCGACTCACCGCCCATTTTCTCAACCACCGTTTACAGTTTATCCACCATTTGTTTTCACCACTACATCCCTGGTCTTTATTAAGCACAAAAATAAAATACTATTAAATCACTGTGACTGCCCTGTTCAAAGGTGCTTTCGAAAACAACACCGGAATATGTATCGTGATAAAGCCCACGAGAGTGCTTTTAAACAACAACTGGAAATCAGACAGGTTTTGTTCCTAAGGATGTGTTTGTTGCCATGGTTACAGGCACACATTACACTGCCAACCCTGGCCTAGGTAAAACAAAAAAAAGCATTTATTGTTTGCATTTGTATGGGAGCTCCTGTTTATGTGAGTGCATGGCTGAACAATTCTAGATGATAAACACACCATCACCAATTGTGATAACGGAAACCGAAACGTGCAGTGTGAAAAGCCTTATAGTCAGTGTATGTGGTCCATGGACCATTTGTCATCAACTAAGCCAGTTGGAACCCAGTAAAGAGCAAAACAATTTGATATCTGACCACACCCTTCTCTACCCCCCACAGCATCAGTAGATGAGAGCTCGTCCAGTGCGTCCTGCTCCACAGAGCCCCAGACCAGGCTGAGTAGGTCTGGAGTCTCTGGACAGGTGCGCTCCGAAGCCCAGGCACAGACCCGACTAAGCCGATCCAGACAGGTATGCTTTACCTCCCCCAACCTGGGCTGTCTGTATGTGTAATGTTGGTCAATGGGGATTGTGCATAGATTGAGTCTGAAGAGGTTTTGGATGTGAGTACTAGATGCATAATAAATAATTGCGTATTGAAGATCCCCTTAATCTCTGACTTAGTGATAACATCAGTCTTGGCGTTCTATTACCTCTCACCATGTCCCCTTCTCTCCTTCGCTGCAGTCGGGCAGACAGAGGAAGAAGGCTGTGATGATGCCGCGCGTGGTCCTCACTCCACTCAAGGTCAATGGTGAACACGTTCCATCAGGTTAGCACTGCTCTCTGCTACCCTAACCCCATCTCTCTGTGCCCACACACACTCTTCCTGGGCAGCAAATTGTGGTAGCATTACACACTGACACCTTTGAGTCATATTCCTACGGTGGTCTTGGACCATTTCTCACCCAGCATTGGCCTCTGTTCCTTTTGCCAGTCTTTTAATGTATGTGTTGCCTATTTACTGTTGCAGCAGCATTATTAGACAGTAACCTCTGAGCTCTTCAAGTTCCTCAGTAAACTTTGGGTAACGCAAACACCCGTCTGTGAATGGCCTTCAAACTGTTTTCTCATTAGCACAATCTATGGGAAGAGTGTAGGAATGGCTAGTGTTCCTGCAGTTGCCGTGTTGACATCCCACCAAAAGATGACCTGTGTGCTCTAGTGTTGGGTGATTTTACGATTGGATCGTCTATCAATTATGTTTGACAGCCATCGTCGAGCTTGATGTCACAAAAGATGGTTTGAATTGGACTACACCTCCGGAGTCTGGTGGTGCACAAGAGCGCAGCGCAGTGAGCACACAGCAGGGTGACCTGCAAAATGGCCCATTCCCTATTTGCCATAGCCTAAATACATGTGGTAGTTAGACTATTAACATATTGCAAGAGAACAATGCAGATTGTAGAAAGAGCGGAGAGCACCAAAGCAGCGCATAATGTCCGATGGGGCCTAACATGCTGTCTAGACCGGGCACACGTGTGCGCCATCGCGCGCATGTTGATTTTGTTCATCCACACCAGACGCGATCCAGACACGCAGATTGAAATATCAAAACGAACTCTGAACCAACTATATTAATTTGGGGACGGGTCGAAACGCATTAAACATTCATGATCATTTAGCTAGCTTGCTGTTGCTAGCTAATTTGTCTTGGGATATAAACATTGGGTTGTTATTTTACCTGAAATGCATATGGTCCTTTTTTTCTGGGTCTTTGTAGAATTTTGACCCATATTGAGTCACACAAAATTGTATGTTCTCTACTCCAACAATTAATCCACAGATAAAATTGGAAACCTAGTTAGTTTCTAATCTCTTCTCCTTCAGTAGTAGTAGTAGTCTTCTTCTGTGGACTCTATGTCGATTGGCAACCGACTTTAAGGTGTATTACCACCACGACTGGAGTGTGGACCTCAGTTCATCTTTCAATCACCTACGTGGGTACAGTGGGGGAAAAAAGTATTTAGTCAGCCACCAATTGTGCATGTTCTCCCACTTAAAAAGATGAGAGAGGCCTGTAATTTTCATCATAGGTACACGTCAACTATGACAGACAAATTTGAGAAAAAAAAATCCAGATATTCACATTGTAGGATTTTTTATGAATTTATTTGCAAATTATGGTGGAAAATAAGTATTTGGTCACCTACAAACAAGCAAGATTTCTGGCTCTCACAGACCTGTAACTTCTTTAAGAGGCTCCTCTGTCCTCCTCTCATTACCTGTATTAATGGCACCTGTTTGAACTTGTTATCAGTATAAAAGACAACTGTCCACAACCTCAAACAGTCACACTCCAAACTCCACTATGGCCAAGACCAAAGAGCTGTCAAAGGACACCAGAAACAAAATTGTAGACCTTCCCCAGGCTGGGAAGACTGAATCTGCAATAGGTAAGCAGCTTGGTTTGAAGAAATCAACTGTGGGAGCAATTATTAGGAATAATAATAATCTCCCTCGATCTGGGGCTCCACGCAAGATCTCACCCCATGGGGTCAAAATGATCACAAGAATGGTGAGCAAAAATCCCAGAACCACACGGGGGGACCTAGTGAATGACCTGCAGAGAGCTGGGACCAAAGTAACAAAGCCTACCATCAGTAACGCACTACGCCGCCAGGGACTCAAATCCTGCAGTGTCAGACGTGTCCCCCTGCTTAAGCCAGTACATGTCCAGGCCCGTCTAAAGTTTGCTAGAGTGCATTTGGATGATCCAGAAGAGGATTGGGAGAATGTCAGATGAAACCAAAATAGAACTTTTTGGTAAAATCTCAACTCGCCATGTTTGGAGGACAAAGAATGCTGAGTTGCATCCAAAGAACACCATACCTACTGTGAAGCATGGGGGTGGAAACATCATGCTTTGGGGCTGTTTTTCTGCAAAGGGACCAGGACGACTGATCCGTGTAAAGGAAAAGAATGAATGGGGCCATGTATCGTGAGATTTTGAGTGAAAACCTCCTTCCATCAGCAAGGGCATTGAAGATGAAACGTGGCTGGGTCTTTCAGCATGACAATGATCCCAAACACACCGCCCGGGCAACGAAGGAGTGGCTTCGTAAGAAGCATTTCAAGGTCCTGGAGTGGCCTAGCCAGTCTCCAGATCTCAACCACATAGAAATTATTTGGAGGGAGTTGAAAGTCCGTGTTGCCCAGCGACAGCCCCAAAACATCACTGCTCTAGAGGAGATCTGCATGGAGGAATGGGCCAAAATACCAGCAACAGTGTGTGAAAACCTTGTGAAGACTTACAGATAACGTTTGACCTGTGTCATTGCCAACAAAGGGTATATAACAAAGTATTGAGAAACTTTTGTTATTGACCAAATACTTATTTTCCACCATATTTTGCAAATACATTCATTAAAAATCCTACAATGTGATTTTCTGGATTTTTTTTTCTCATTTTGTCTGTCATAGTTGACGTGTATCTATGATGAAAATTACAGGCCTCTCTCATCTTTTTATGTGGGAGAACTTCCACAATTGGTGGCTGACTAAATACTTTTTTTCCCCACTGTATATGCTCCTAAAAATGAGGAGATGGGAGAGGCGGGACTTGCAGTGCGTGAAGTGTCAAAAATTGAACCGAGGATGAGTGGTATATGACCAATATACCACGACGCAACACGGAGTGCCTGGACACAGCCCTTAGCCGTGGTATATTGGCCATATATCACAAACCCCCGGGGTGCCTTATTGCCATTATAAACTGTTTACCAACGTAATTAGAGCAGTCAAAAACAAACATGTTTTGTCATACCCGTGGTCTGATATACCACGGCTGTCAGCCAATCAGCATTCAGGGCTCGAACCACCCAGTTTATAATATTCGTTTTTTTTAAATATATAACTGATATCTATGTATTTTTATGGACAAGAGAAACATAGCCCTACCAATTTGAAAATCATTCTGCAGCCTAGACTAGATAGAAAAAATAACTAGGCCTTGCAATGTATCCTTAATATTGCAAAAAAATTGACGATACAGTCGTATATCAACGATGTTTGGACAGGACGATGTGTCATTCCAGACATCGCCCAACCCTAGTGTGCTCCTCATGTTTGACCGTGCTCCTCGTGTGGGCGGCAGGTAGCTTAGTGGGTAAGAGCGTTGTGCCAGTAACCGAAAGGTCGCTTGTTCTAATCCCCGAGCTGACTAGGTGAAAAATCTGTCAATGTGCCCTTGAGCAAGGCACTTAACCCTAATTGCTCCTGTAAGTCGCTCTGGATAAGAGCGTCTGCTAAATGACTAAAATGTAATGTAAATGTGTGCACCCAGAGTCTTTCTCTCATTCTGAGGTTCCCCTGAAAATCCTCACCTCTTGTGTCTGTCAGTCTCTTCCAATATCTGTCCTCCCTGCTTCTTTCTGTGTGTACCTGGAATATCAGTCCCTCCCTCCTGCCTTACATTTAGCTGCCCAGTAAACACAATTGCTCTGTATGAGATGGGGTGAGGTGAGCACTTTCTCAGATGTCTGCTGCACCCTACCCCCCACCCTCCTCTCTGTGTTTGTGGGCCTGGGTAACTACTCCTCCTGCTTTGTTATGTGCTGCTCACCCCTCCCAACCCCCAATCCCACCCGTGCTATTGGCTCTGCTGTCCCCCCTTTTGGATTGTCTGCCTGACCCGCCCTCCCCGCCTGCTCGCTTTTAAGTCCCCCCTTACACACGTGACGGGAGTGTCTCACCAGGCTCCCCCTCCCCCCACCTCTCCCCCTCAGGAGCAGCGGGGAGGCGCAGGGAAGGCTCTAGGGGGGGTCCAGGCCCCACACTCCGTGCCCGCCCCGAACTGGCTAGCTGGAAACGCCCCCAGCACTTCAAGAGCATTCGTGGCCACCACTCAGGTACAGGGGTTAGACCCGGGTATAATCACCCCCAACCAACCTCCCCCCTCAGTAACCCCGAAAATGCCAAACCCCTCTCTCCCCCTCAGTCCACCCAATTATCAAACCCTAAACAATTAGCAACCTTAAAATCCCCTGGATTTGTGAAAGCTTAGTCTGTAGGATTGTGGTTGAATTCAACAAAAGTATATCTCACTTCATTGGCTGTCCCAATGTATTTAGTCTAATTCAGCGGGGAGGGGGACGGGTTCAGCTGTGAACCAGTTAATTTTTTTCTTCCCATCACTGTTCATGACACCTTTGACAGAGAGATATGCCTGATGGAATCTGAACTGTAAACAACTTGACACATCTTTATATCTTATGACTTGAATTTAGCTATCATAAAGGAAAAGGCCAAACATCATAGTCTGGATATAGTACACCATCTGTAGAACTATTATATAGATGTTGCGCAGGTCAGCCGTCTACAAATGCGGACTTTGGCTCAGTCTCACAGACTGACAGGGTGATTTGGTAGCTAACTAATGCTACACTGGTCTCTAACATGGTCAGGATTGCATTGGTCGCTAATGCTAACAGAACAGCAGTGCTTTGCAGGTTGTTAACTGAATGCCAGGGTCGTCTAGCTATCCCAACACTGGCCATACGGCCAGGACTTACTTAACCGCTCACTGACTGACAGCTGTTGTGATTGTGTTGGCTGCTAAACTAAACGCCTACTGTGCTGCTGCTGGCTCTTAACTGGAGTTGTTTTGGCTGGCAATGGAATGGCCACGCTGTGCTTGCTGTTAGTTGAATGAATGTGTTTAAACCCAGGGTTGGATAGCATTAGCCACTTGCTAACCCGTGCAGGCCTATGGGTTGTGTTTGTCTGCAGGGCCCATGAAGAGGAGCCGAGGTGGGGTGGAGGTGGACTTTGAGACACCTGGCTCAATCCTGGTCAACACAAACATCAGGGCCCTCATCAACATGCGCACTTTCTCTGCCTTCCCAGCCCAGTACCAACAGCAACTCCTGCAGCTCCTCCCTGAAGTCGACCGCCAGGTGAGTGCGCATGCTCATAATTTATCATTATAGTTATAATTTATAACTGTTAGGGACAGTTTCCAGGACCCAGGTTACGCTTTTCCCTGGAATAAAAAGCTTTTTCAATGGAGATTCCCCATTGGCGCGTGCCTTTTAGTCCAGCCCATAATGCAGGGTTCTTCAATTCCGGTCCTGGAGGGCCGAAACACCTCTGTTTTTCATCCTCTCCTTCTAATCAGGGTCTAATTCAGACCTGGGACAACCAGGTGAGTGCAATTAACTACCAGGTAGAAATAAAAAACAGAAGTGTTTCGGCCCTCCAGGACCGGAATTGAAGAACCCTGCCATAATGTCTCATCATTTCTGTGCCATATTGTTTTTGGTATTTCTCTGTACAGCTCCATGTCTGTGAATGTAACCCAGTATGTTCTGTCCTGTCTTCTCTAGGTGGGACCTGACGGTCTGGCTCGCCTCAGTAACTCGGCTCTCAACAATGAATTCTTCACTCACGCCTCCCAGAGCTGGAAGGAAAGGCTCGCTGAGGGTTAGTACCTACCGGTAGTTAGTTATACTATACAGATATAATGTGATCGAGGGGGTTAGTGACTGGCTACACATATAGGGAACTCCTTCCCTTCAGGATTTAATTGCCTATCAATTTATTTTACCAGGAACATTTCCAGGTATTTTTCCAGAAATAACATGGTGTACAATAATAACCCTCTTGGAAATTCAGTACCAGAAAGGACCCATTGATACTACAACATAGCTTCCTAGTAAATACCAGGGGAAACTGAATCAGTCAATACACAAATTCATGTATTATTTAAAACGCAATAGCCAGATATTGGTGGGTTAATCTTGGCCAATATTGTTTGACCTGCTCAGGGGAGTTCACCCACGAGATGCAGGTGCGATTTCGCCAGGAGATGGAGAAGGAGAAGAAAGTGGAGGCATGGAAGGAGAAGTTCTTTGAGGAGTACCACGGTCAAAAGTAAGTCTCCTAAACACCCCCAGTCACAACATCGTTATTTTTTAAGCTCCCTCTTATTCCATGGACCATTAGAAAATTACTTACATTATTTCAATTGGGTGAACATTTATTTTATAAATGGTATATACTCTGAGTACTAACGTTGTTCTATGGCTGCAGGTCTGGCCTGACCCGGGAAGAGTCTCTGAAGTTGACGATGAGTGAAGCGGCCGATGCTGCCGCCAGCGTCCTGGAGAGTGAGGTGGCCTCTGTGGCTGCAGGAACACCCAAGCGCCGCGGTGTGGGCAGGCGGCGGCGGGACGGCAGGATGAGACGGCGAACGCGTGCAGACTTGAGACGCAGGGCACGACGCACCCTCTGCAAGACCAACTCCCCTGCCCTGCAGACCCCTGAGCAGCCGGAGGGCACGCTCCCTCTAGATGCTGTTGCCTCTGTCTCTGTGCCCTCGCCCGTCCCAGAGGCCACCATGGTGCAGGGAGAGGTGGTGCTGCAAGCCGAATCTGGACTGGAGACCCCAGCCCAGTGTGCCTCCCTAGAGCCCACGCCCTGCCCTTCCCCTGTGCCCACGCTCCTGTCTGTGACCCTGCCCGAGCCTGAGCCTGAGCCCACCCCGACCCCAAGTCCCAGCCCCAGCCCTGCATCCATCAGTGCCACCGACGAGCCTGAAGTCACCGCCCGCCTGCTCCCTGAAGAGCCTGTACCTGCCGTCGCCTCAACCTCCTCTCCCTCCTCCTCGTCTTCCTCCTCCTCGTCCTCCTCCCCTTCCTCCTCTCCCTCCTCGACCTCCGAGAGGCAGGGGGCGTTCACCGCCGGCTTGGACTCTTCCTCCTCTTCCTCCTCCTCCACGGCCGCTGCCACCGCCGATCCGCTGGACGATGGGGCTTCCGTGGTCACCTCGGTCACGGGGGGCACGGCCACCAGCAGCCAGGAGAGCAGCCCTGCAGCCAGCCCCACCCCCACTGCCGCCACCTCCACCCAGGCCAAGGAGCAGAAGAGGAGGCCAGACGAGACCCAGGCCTTCTCCAGCTTCCCCGAGAAGAGGCCGCGAATGGAAGATCGTCAGTCCTTTCGTACCACAATCGACGGGGTCCACACGGAAAAGCCGCAGCCGACAGCAGAGGAGCCCAAGGTCCCACCTATCCGGGTATGAAGTCACCATTTGTAATTGTAAGTCTTTATTGTGGCTGTAGTGGGGCAGTGGCAGGCACCCAATTTCCTTAGACCTGGAGTCCACATTCTGTAAAGTAAGTTTGATTATTTTGTGATTTCTGTCACAAAACATTTCAAATCAACTTGACAAAGACTAACTTCTTTCTCTGAAGATGGTAAATCAATAGTGATGATTGACTCTGGGTTTCGGTGTGGGATTATTAGCCAATCAATGCATGCTAATGTCCTGTATATGGCCTTGGTAAATTCCATATTTGACATGCTCTCCTTGTTTGTGTCCCTCTAGATTCAACTCTCCAGAATCAAACCGCCCTGGGTCAAAGGGCCGCCAACCTACCAGATCTGTCCCCGCATTGTGCCCCCCGGCGAGGGCTTGCGGCGCACGGGGACGGGGGCGCGCACCCTGGCGGACATCAAAGCCCGCGCCCAGCAGGCCCGGGCCCAGCGCGAGGCCGCTGCTGCTGTTGCAGCCACTGGGGACGGGCCAGGGCCTGGCGGGGGCAGGGCTGGTTCTGGGCTACCGGATCGCAGCAGTGGAAGACGAACTCGAGAGCACCCAGGACCCGTCGAGCCCGGAGGAGGAGGAGCAGGAGACGTGGAGGAGCAGGGATCGCCTGCGGGCTCTCATCCGCCTGGAACACAACTACAGCTGTCCAATGTAGAGCCCTCCTCTACCCCAACCCCCCACACAGCTTCCTCGTCCCCCTCCCTGTCTACCTCCTCCAACCCCTCCCTGTCCTCTTCCGAGTCCCCGCAGACCCCCACTCCACCCCTACCCACCCAGGAGGAGCGGCTGGGGGAGCTGAGTGGGGAGGAGGGGGCCACACTAACACCACCACCAGTCAAAGGCACCACCAACGGACTCTCGGACAAGGCAGCGCTGCTGGAGCCTGAGTCTGTGTCCAGCCACCTCCAAGGGCGAAGTGAGGAGGCTGACTGTGACAGGACAGCGACCCAAAGCGGTCCCCTGGCACCCACCTCCATCCCAGATTCTCTGCCCAGGTTTGGGGCCCAGGGAGTGGACGTGATCAGGTCCCTGGCTGGCACCGAGCAGGCCAGGGGGGGAGGAGGGGGTGTCATCCAGCATGGTTCCCACCACGTGGGACCACAGGAGAACCCCCCCACCCCGGCTAGAGAGGGCCGCATCCAGGGCGAAAGGCAGCAGTCGCAGCCCCCGGTGAGGGAAAGCGATACAGCCTCCCTCCCTTGTCTTCCACCCTCAGTCAGAGAGGACGACGCAGGGCATCACAGCGACTCCACGGAGACGGCCTCCGACTGCGGGAACGAGAGCCAGGAGGAGGAGCCCCACCTGAGCACATGGCGCCACCACCTTCCAGCTCAGCGCAATGGCAACATCCAGCACCTCCAAAGGCTATCTCAGCAGGCCCATGGCCAGCCTGTGATCTGCAGTCCCCCTTCACAGCAGAACCAGCAGCCGGTCATCCAGGCCCATGTGTCCAACCACCACGGCCACAGCCAGACGGTTATCCAGCCCTGCTTCCCCAACGGCCTGCCCAGCCAGAGTCTCATGCAGCTGGGCCAAAAGCCGCAGCAGCCTGGACACACTCCCCACCCAGACCAACAGGCTCTCGCTGCGCCACACCCCAAAGCCCAGAGGGGGCACAAAACAGACCCCATGGAAGACTACAAAGCGTCCAGCCGGTGCTTGGCTGATGAGGACTGTAGGCTGGGGCTGAATCCCTCTCCCATCGCTAGCTCCAAGAGGCTCCCTAGTTTGGCCCGGCCCGTATCCACAGTGGAGGCCAACAACCCTCTGGTCACCCAGCTGCTCCAAGGCAGCCTCCCGCTGGAGAAAGTCCTGCCGCAGACGCACTCGGCTAGCAAGCTGGAGATCAACCGCCTGCCAGAGGGGCTCCAGTCAGCTCCCCAGTCCCAGCTCAGCCGGCAGCAACAGACCAGGAACCCGGGCCCTCGCTTCAGGGGCCCCCCAGAGTCCAGTACGGTGGAGTCACTGGTCCCCGAGTTGTCCTCTCAGAACCAGCAGAAGTCCCCTGCTGGCCGAGGAGGCTCCCCTGGAGCAGGCCGGAGCTTCGGGTCCTCTCCCCCAGGCACGGTGCCCTCCCGCATGGCCTGCCTGCTGGAGGAGGCCTCCTCTCGGGCCACGGCAATGCAGCAGTATCTCTCCCAGCAGCCAGGTGGTGCTGTGCCCCCTGGGGCCGTGCCCGTCATCACATCCCTCTCTTCTTCGTCCTCTTCCTCCAGACGCAACTCCCAGGAGTCGGCCATCATCCGAGAGTCTCCGGAGAGGCACCACAACAACTTTCCTCAGCCCCGGGCCACCCCGGACGCCCCTTCACCCCCGCACGGTAACCTCTGCCTCTCTGACGTGGTCCCCACCGTCAAGATCAACTGGCACCCTTCCAAACCCCACCCCCCGCACCAACAGCAGCTCTCGCCCGTACCCAGCGTGAAGAGCGAGGTCACCTCCCGGCCCTCTTGCCAAACTCTTGCCAAAACCTCCCCCTCTGGCCCCATGGTAGGCGGTGGGCCAGGTGTGGTGGTCACCAAAAAGGAGGCAGTGAACTCTATGGACGGTTACCTGACTGGAGGAGGGGTAGGAGGAGGTGGGGCTATGGAGGGACTGTTGAACATGGAGATTTCCTTAGCCCGCATGGCAAAGAAGGAGGCGCAGAGCAAAGCTCAGTACTCCTCTTCATCTTCCCCCTCCTCCCTCCCTTTCCAGCTGTACGGAAAGCTGCCCAAGCAGGGCGGGGGAGGCGGCGTGGCAGCGCCCGGCTTCAGCTACACGGCCAACGTGTCTGTGGTGGACGGCAGCGGCTTCTCGAGGAGCATCGCTGACGGCGTCCTGCAGCTGCGTCAGCGCCACAGCGCCAGCCAGAGCGCCACGCTCAGCATCCAGGCGTTCGCAGACAGCGCCGCTGAGGAGGTGGCCCTCAAGTGCTCGTGCCGCCTCAAGGCCATGATCATGTGCCAGGGCTGCGGGGCCTTCTGCCACGACGACTGCATCGGCCCCTCCAAACTGTGTGTGTCCTGTCTGGTGGTCAGATAGGAGCTTTCTCTGACGTTGCCACAGTGTTGGTGGTTTGGTGTTATATGCTGTGCCACCTTCAGCATACCTGCTCCATGTATAAACTGTTAACTAACCTAACACACTCAGAACTTGAGAGAAACAAGGGTGTGGGACATTAGGCTTTGACATGTACATGACCCTCGGAAGTGTTGCCTTGTATTATAAAATCGGTCTGTATTTTTTGTTGCATATTTTTTCTAATGCCGTTATGATTATGTAATTATTATTTTGTTATAATTATTAATATTGTGATTTATTTGGCACGGTTGATTGTAAATTGAGCCTTTTTTCGTTATTCTTTCCTCAAAACATTTACCTCATCTTATCTTGACACACCTGTCATCAGTTCAGTGTGAAAATGGTGGCTGTTATTGTTTGTTTTCCTCTCTGGCCCTGCATGGAGGGGGATTTGTTCTCGTCTCTTTCTTGCAAATAAATATTTTTTTAATCATTAAAGCAAGCATAAATTACATTGTTCTGTTTTTTGTAAGTGCTTTCATTCCATTTTTCCCTGCACAAAATCAAGTCTACTCTGCAGCTAAGCACAGTATTCAAAATTAATAACTAAGATTGAGCAGTCTGGTGTTAAGCAATGGCACTCATTTTGGATTCTCTGGCAGTATAGTTCAACTTACATCTTTTGTCACACGTAGATATTTATTCTAAATATACATGGAATCTTTTTTTTTTTCTATTAACAATTTGACACGTAGAACTGAACAGCAAGACACATTTGGACCCGTCCAGTGCTGGATAAGTTTGGCACAGAACGTCAGACAAAACATTTATTTAGATTTTTTTTAAACCTCAAAACAGCATCAAAGAGCATAGCACACACAGTCCATCACACTGAAGTTCCAATGTAGACAAATAAGTGCTTAAATTCCTTCACAGGTGGATACACATACAGTGAGGTCCAAATGTATTTGGACAGTGACACATTTGTTGTTGTTTTGGCTCTGTACTGAAATTATACAATGACTGAGGTTCAAGTGCAGACTGTCAGCTTTTTTTTTTTGTTACACGCTACGCACTTCAGCACTCGGCGGGCCCGTTCTGTGAGCTTGTGTGGCCTACCACTAAGCGGCTGAGCCATTGTTGCTCCTAGACGTTTCCACTTCACAATAACAGCACTTACAGTTGACCGGGGCAGCTCTAGCAGGGCAGAAATTTGACGAACTGACTTGTTGGAAATGTGGCATCCTATGATGGTTCCACGTTGAAAGTCACAGCTCTTCAGTAAGGCCATTCTACTGCCAATGTTTGTCTATGGAGATTGCATGGCTGTGTGCTTGATTTTATACACCTGTCAGCAACAGGTGTGGCTGAAATAGCTGAATCCACTCATTTGAAGGGGTGTCCACATACTTTTGCGTATATATAGTGTATAATTTCAAATCCAAAGTGCTGGAGTACAGAGCCAAAACAACAAAAATGAATCACTGTCCAAATACCTTTGGGCCTCACTGTACATTATTTACTACTTTAATTACAGTTCTGCCTTGAGAACCTAATAGTGAATTGCTATCCCACACTCACTTTCTACCCCTAATCCAGAGGTGTTCTATGGTCCAAAGGCATTTGCAGTCTCCCATTATTTGAAAAGATTTCATGTTTAAGAATTCAGAAAAGAGTGAATTCGGGTAATGCTGTTTGACAATGTGGTCATTTCTTTTCTATACTGTGTAAACGTGTTAATATACTTTTTTTCATGCCTGTAGCCCTCTTGACATTTGCCTTAACAGAAATCTCTTCAGCAAAATTACTTTTATTTGTCACCCCTGTTCTCACCAAGTATATTCAATGAAGAGCACAGTAAGATATGAGAAGACATTACAGATGTGAACACAGAGAATGAGCAAATACTTCCACACCATTTGGGGCTTTCAGTTCTTGTAAGTCGATCTCAAAAGCTCCCCTGAATTGTTCGTTCACAGTCAAAATCATCATTCTCAGAAAAATCTAATTTACAAAATTCAAAGAGGGAGGAAAGAAGGACTTGGAGACGGGGTGCCAGTGTTAGGCACAAGACAAGATACCCCAAAAGAGGGGTAGATAGAGTTAATGGGTGGGGCATTGAGTGAGATGAGACTTTAGTGTTCAGAGGGGTTGTTGGGATAGTCCTAGGGGGCTGGTGGTGTTGGTGAGGGCTTCTGGGAGTAGGGCTGACCCTAAGTAAGCTCCCAATCCCTAAATCCTTGTTTTTTCTAACCTCGACCTCTAAACCTTAGGCACCTCTGTAGATTGGATAGGCGTACCTGGGCTATCAGGGAAGGGGGAGATGGAGCTATTACCATATTGCTTCTACTTATCCAATTATTCTAGTCATTCACTTCAACATGAAGTTTCTAGGGGATCAATTTTGAATTCGGGTGGGAACTCATTTTAGCCATTCCGGTGAAGTTATCAGCCTATTTCTTACACAATTACTTTTGTATCCAGAAAGGGGAGTCAAGGGCATAGAGATGGGAACAAGTTAGAGAATGGGAGCACAGCTTCTCGTCTCCTGTCCCTCCCTACTTCTCTCTGTAGTGGAGCATGTACATCTTCAGAGGCTCAGGGAGCGGCAGGCCCAGGATCCTCTCTCTTAGCAGGTTCACTGGAGCCTCATGTAGAAGGGCACCACCCTCCCTACTCTCCTCCCCCTCTTCCTCCTGCTCCTCCTCTTCCACAGGTTCTCCTAGAATCCTGCAGTTCCCCTCTTCTTCCTCCTCCTCCTCTTCTGTGTCTGAGCGGTTGTTGTTGTCATCCATCGGCCCTGGGATGAGGCGGCTCATGAATACGTAGCGGTTGGAGAGCAGGGTGGAGCCACAGTGTTGGGCCCGCCTCCGCCGGAGCCGCTCCCCGCTGTGGGCCAGCCGCCTCCTGGGCAACGGCCCCGGCCCCGCCACGGTCTTCTTTAACGTCAGACGGATAGAGATGCGAGCCAAGTCCTGCAGAGTCCGCACCTCAAACATGGCCGCTGAGGAGGTACACACACACAAATGACGAGGAAACCATTTCACACTCTCCTACATAGTAAGTGATGGAAGTTCTGCCTTCCCATTTTGTAACTAGTCCAACATGCATTTGAGACAACATAGTGTTCAACAACTGTCACCTCCCCCAGTCTGAGTCCCCAGGGCCTGTTTTCACAAAGCCTCAGAGTAGGATAGCTGATCTAGAATCAGCCCCCCCCCCTGTCATATGTATTATAATCTAAAAGGCTAAATTGATCCTAGATCAGCACCCACTGTGAGATGCTTTGCGAATACCAGCCCAGAGCTCCGATATGGTTACTCATCACACAAAGGCTCACTTGGAAAACTACCTCTGCTACATAGACAATCATATGACAGATGTGCTAGTACAGTACTTACGTAAAGGCACTGCTTTGGGTTTACTGTTGTCTCTGTGTTTGGGCAACACCAGTGGGGCAAAGGACACAGCAATTATGTTTTTGGTCTCCCAGCTGTTGTAGCCTGTTCGAGTGATCTTGGTCAACTAAGGAGAGGAAGGGCAATAATGTGTTTGTGTACTGGACATTTTTTTGTAGTAAGCAGTGTTAATAAATATATGTAATTGACATGTTGTATTTATATACAACCTTTCTCTAAACCCAAGGCAAAGTGGAGCACAGCATTAGCTACACACAAAGGAAACAAGTATCAAAATGTGTAAATGTATAGAAGGTATACAAACAATTTCTAGGAGCAGGACCAACAAAGATGAGACAACACAAAGTCTACAACAGAGTTGAATGACAGGGAACATGACACCACAATATATTAAAGTGCTAGAAATAGCACTGGGTGAAGAGGTGAGTTTATCTAAATTCATTCTGGTTTTAAAAGTGGTCATGTCTTTAAAGTCACAATTTAGCCTTGTGAAATTATCCTGATTGCTACGCTCACCATTCTGTTTCACTTCACATATCGTGTCTGTGTGTGGGTCACAGGAGGTTGGTGGCACCTTAATTGGGGAGGACGGGCTCGTGGTAATGGCTGGAGTGTATTTCCATGTGTTTGATGCCATTTTATTTGCTCCATTCCAGACATTATTATGAGCCGTCCTCCCCTCAGCAGCCTCCACTGGGGGTGTGCATGTGCGCGCGCTGACCTTCTCCTCCAATGGCAGCACTAGGATTCCCTCCACTTTGAGCAGGTTCTTCATGTAGTCTTCCTGCTCCTGCTGCACCCCGGCTCCACAATACACCCTGTCGTACTGACCACTCTCTGGGGATATCTCCAGACAGTTCCCCATCACGAAGCAGGGCTCACAGAACTCAAACCTACACGCACACACACACACACCTATGATTCCCCCATTCCAGAGCTGCGTCTGATGTTTCTTGGATACCTGTAGCACTCCCGACACATTGTTTCCTCAGAGAATCAGCCTACCCACCATAACTGCAGTATGTTATCTTACTAGCTTGTTACAGAGTATACCATTTAACTGGATGCTCCTGATAGCTCCTATAACTCTGGTATACGTTGTTCTTCTTTTCTTTCTATCACTTTCATCATGAAACTCTCCTACCTGTCGAAGCTGTCGCTGGTCTTGATGAAAAACTCCAGTTTCTGGTATGCATACTCAATGACATCTTGGTGCAGCTCCACCCCATGGTTCACGCCAAATGGACCTACATTAAGGGGGAGAAACAAGGTGAAGTCTTATTTTCCATTTTCTTAGATAAAGGCTTATGTAAAGCAGCGGGGAGCGTACATGGCTGAGAGTCTCAATGGTAAAAAAATATTTTTAAGCCACTCTTGCTCTTATAATTTTGTATTTCAACTGGCCAGGTGAGGTTTGTGTGGTCCTGACTCACCCAGTATGAGACCCACCATGGTGCTGAGGTAGCCCGTACCACTGCCCAGGTTGAGGAAGGACAGGCCAGGCTGGAGATCCAAGGCCTCCATCACCTCTGAGTAGATGCAGGGTGCTGAGAGGTGGATGTTGCCGTGCCTCCAGGCCAGGTCCTTGTAGGCGCTGTCTCTGAACTCTTCCAGATAGTAGTCGGCCCTGTCGATGGCCCTAAAGGCCTGCTCCACCAGGTCTGAGCGTATGTACTGAGCCTCCTTCAGGTTGTCAATCAACTCATCGTTGTCCTCCCCCGCACTCACGGCTCCTCCCATCCTCACGGACTCGCTGAGAGAGAGAGAGATGAAGATAGAGTTAGACAAAAGGTGTCTAAAAATACTGATCAATTCATTCAGATTGATTCATCCCCTTCATCTCCCCAAGACTGTTCACTCTTGTTACCATCTGGCAAACAGTATCGGAGTATCGGGTCTCAGAGCAACAGGCTCCGAGACTGCTTCTACAACCAGGCCAACAGACTGATGAACAGCTAACCCTAGCTGTCTACCTGCTCAGACCTACACCTGAGAGATTATTTGCACCTCAGAGACTATCCACACTTTACAGACTATATGCACTGACTCTCCACACATACAACCCTTACATATAAACACACATGCACACATACTCACACAGTCAACGCTGCTGTTCTATTACATTTACATGTACGTTTTAGACATTTAGCAGACGCTCTTATCCAGAGCGACTTACAGTTAGTGAGTGCATAAATTTTTCATACTGGCCCCCCGTGGGAAATGAACCCACAACCCTGGCGTTGCAAGCACCATGCTCTACCAACTGAGCTACAGGGGACCTGTACATACTATTTATTCAACTGCGCGACCAGGACACTATCCATTTTATATCTGTAAAAAGTCATACTTGACAGAGGATGTTCATAATTTACAGTGCATTCGGAAAGTATTCAGACCCCTTGACTTTTTCCACATTTTGTTACGTTACAGCCTTATTCTAAAATGGATTAAATTGATTTTTTCCCCTCAATCTACACACAATACCTCATAATCACAACGCAAAAACAGGTTTTTATAAAAACTGAAATATCACATTTACATAAGTATTCAGAGCCTTTACTCAGTACTTTGTTGAAGCACGTTTGGCAGCGATTACAGCCTTGAGTCTTCTTGGGTATGACGCTACAAGCTTGGCACTGTATTTGGGGAGTTTCTCCCATTCTTCTCTGCAGATCATCTCAAGCTCTGTCACGTTGGATGGGGAGCATCGCTGCACAGCTATTTCAGGTCTCTCCGGAGATGTTCAATCGTGTTCAAGTCCGGGCTCTGGCTGGGCCACTCAAGGACATTCAGAGACTTGTCCCGAAGCCACTCCTGCATTGTCTTGGCTGTGTGCTTAGGGTCGTTGTCCTGTTGCAAGGTGAACGTTCGCCCCAGTCTGAGATCCTGAGCGCTCTGGAGCAGGTTTTCATCAAGGATCTCTCTGTACTTTGCTCCGTTCAACTTTCCCTCGATCCTGAGTAGTCTCCCAGTCCCTGCCGCTGAAAAACATCCTCACAGCATGATGCTGCCACCACCATGCTTCACCGTAGGGGTGGTGCCAGGTTTCCTCCAGACGTGACGCTTGGCATTCAGGCCAAAGAGTTCACTCTTGGTTTCATCAGACCAGAGAATCTTGTTTCTCATGGTCTGAGAGTCTTTAGGTGCCTTTTATGCTCTACAACATTCGGAGAGTGCGACCCTGCCTTACACAGGAAGCGGCGCAGGTCCTGGTCCAGGCACTTGTCATCTCCCGTCTGGACTACTGCAACTCGCTGTTGGCTGGGCTCCCTGCCTGTGCCATTAAACCCCTACAACTCATCCAGAATGCCGCAGCCCGTCTGGTGTTCAACCTTCCCAAGTTCTCTCACGTCACCCCCCTCCTCCGCACACTCCACTGGCTTCCAATTGAAGCTCGCATCCGCTACAAGACCATGGTGCTTGCCTTTGGAGCAGTGAGGGGAACGGCACCCCTGTACCTTCAGGCTCTGATCAGTCCCTACACCCAAACGAGGACATTGCGTTCATCCACCTCTGGCCTGCTGGCTCCCCTTCCTCTGCGGAAGCACAGCTCCCCCTCAGCCCAGTCAAAACTGTTCGCTGCTCTGGCACCCCAATGGTGGAACAAGCTCCCTCACGACGCCAGGACAGCGGAGTCACTCACCACCTTCCGGAGACATTTGAAACCCCACCTCTTTAAGGAATACCTGGGATAGGCTAAAGTATTCCTTCTAACCCCCCCCCCCCCCCCCCCCCCCCAAATTGTAAAGTGGTTATCCCACTGGCTATAGGGTGAACGCACCAATTTGTGAGTCGCTCTGGCTAAGAGCGTCTGCTAAATGACGTTAATGTGCCCTTGAGCAAGGCACTTAACCCTAATTGCTCCTGTAAGTCGCTCTGGTTAAGAGCGTCTGCTAAATGACTAAAATGTAAATGTAAAATGTTTTGGCAAACTCCAAGCGGGCTATCGTGTGCCTTTTACTGAGGAGTGGCTTCCGTCTGGCCACTTTACCATAAAGGCCTGATTGGTGGAGTGCTGTAGAGATGGTTGTCCTTCTGGAAGGTTCTCCCATCTCCACAAAGGAACTCTGGAGCTCTGTCAGAGTGACCATCGGGTTCTTGGTCACCTCCCTGACCAAGGCCCTTCTCCCCCGATTGCTCATTTTGGCCAGGCGGCCAGCTTTAGGATGAGTCTTGGTGGTTCCAAACTTCTTCCATTTAAGAATGGCCACTGTGTTCTTGGGGACATTCAATGCTGCAGACATTTTTTGATACCCTTCCCCAGATCTGTGCCTCGACACAATCCTGTCTCGGAGCTCTACGGACAATTCCTTCGACCTCATGGCTTGGTTTTTGCTCTGACATGCACTGTTAACTGTGAGACCTTATACAGACAGGTGTGTGCCTTTCCAAATCATGTCCAATCAATTGAATTTATCACAGGTGGACTCCAACCAAGTTGTAGAAACATCTCAAGGATGATCAATGGAAACAGGATGCACCTGAGCTCAATTTAGAATCTTATAGCAAAGGGTATGAAAACCTGTTTTCACTTTGTCATTGTGGGAGTGTAGATTGATGAGAAAAAAAACACACAATTTAATCCATAAGGCTGCTCAGTAAAAGGCACATGACAGCCCACTTGGAGTTTGCCAAAAGGCACCTAAAGACTCTCAGACCATGAGAAACAAGATTCTCTGGGCCTCCTGTAGCTCAGTTGGTACAGCATGGCGCTTGCAACGCCAGGGTTCGATTCCCACGGGGGGCCAGTATGAAAAATGTATGCACTCACTAACTGTAAATCGCTCTGGATAAGAGCGTTTGCTAAATGACTAAAATGTAAAATTATGAAACCAAGACTGACAGAGCTTGAGATGATCTGCAGAGAAGAATGGGAGAAACTCCCCAAATACAGATGTACCAAGCTTCTAGCATCATACCCAAGAAGACTCGAGGCTGTAATCGCTGCCAAAGGTGCTTCAACAAAGTACTGAGTAAAGGCTCTGAATACTTATGTGATATTTCCGTTTTTTTAAAACCTGTTTTTGCTATGCTATTATGGGGTATTGTGTGTAGATTGATGTGAAGAAGAAAAAAACAATTTAATCCATTTTAGAATATGGCTATAACGTAACAAAATGTGGAAAAAGTCAAGGGGTCTGAATACCTTCCGAATGCACCATATATATTGTACTGCAATGTTGAGGGAACTAGCACATAAGCATTTCACTGCACCTTTTATACCTGCTGTAAACTGTGTATGTGACAAATACCATTTTATTTTATTGAGCACATTCAGCAATGGCTCCAGATAATAATGTATTGCTATATTTGGATTAATCACTGAGAAAACACCTTGCCATTTGCATGAACAGAGGTAGGTTCTAGTTGGAGAAAATAATGAGTTTTGAACATGTCATTTTGGGTCTGAAGGTGTGTGTAAAAGACAGGCCTGTTATAGAACCTCTTTCTTCAGGTCTTTGATTAAGTTCTTATATTATAAACCAGTCAAATAAACCTTTATTGTGTTCTGTTTTCACGAGTAGCCGGGCGGTGGCACTGCCACAGCGCACGATAATCCAAGTGACGGTGGTGACGCCTCCTTTGTAACTGCAGGAATTGGCGGATTCGATTATAATGAGCCGTGGGGCACCGGTGTATGGCCCGTGACGTGACCGGTCAAAAGCGGTGAGGGAGGAGCGCCATCCTTAAATCGAACATTAAAACTCTGAAATGTCCGACCTGCTGATTCGTTGAAAGAAGCACGTGTATAACTACAACCTGTTAGCAAATCGAAAATGTCAGATTCTCCTAGTTCAGACTATCACATGAACACCGCATAATCTGCGACACTCGGTCATGTTGTCAACATGGCAGCATGGTGTATCATCCAGAAATATACATCCCTTTACCATAAAATATACCTTTTAATTTTCAATCTAATTTCATTGGGAAGGCAGATAAGGCGTTTATATCAAAAGCAATCATTTGTGCATGTGAAAACACAGAATCCTACTCGTTACTCCACGTGCTTAATTACATCACTTTTGTTTTGAGCCGGTTTCGCCGTGTGCTTTGAACGGGTACCTGGTTTACACCCAGGAGGCAGCCCGGTTCCAAAACGAATGCCATCAACTTTCACCCGGTGCAAAACACGCTTCCCAGGGCGCCCGGACCAGATAATCAAATCCTCTCAGTGAGGCATATTTTCCACCAATCAACGCACACACAAAATACAGCTGCGCCACTGAATAACAAAATAGTATGTGTTTACATAAATATTGTTATTGTCACCAAAAGTACTGCAACCAACATTTGGGTAAGCATTTGATGCGCATTCATATAGTGTTTTTCTTAATCTTCTTTCAAATAGTTTGATATTGGGGCTTTGTTATTTAACAACCAACCAAAACATGTTCACAAACTGCTGCTGCAACGCGAGCTACATAAAAAAAAAAACATGTATCACCTTTGTATCTGATGTTGTCTACGAAGCGCTCTGCAGGGGTACACGGGAGAGAAGATAAATTATTGTCTGGCTGGAGCTAACAAAGAAACTCGCCATAAAAAATACGAAGCAGCGTTCTTTACCTTATGGAAGAGATGGTTAATCGACGCTGCTTTATAGTGTAGAAATCTTGTGTTGTTACCTTCTCGATTTCTCCCATTAACATTCAATAGATGTCACCACAATTGTGGACGTAAACATTGACCAGCTGACACTGACGTCAAGCACACAAACACCAAAATGTGATCAGTCAGTACCCTGGTGGAGAAGGAGAGTTGTACTCATCTCGCATTGGCCAAAATGTAAAATCTCCAATGGGAAATGAACTAGGTAAAATTCGTTTTAAATAGGATATTCGGTGGATGTTCGGTTTTCTCTTGTCAATAGCTCTTAGACAGAGTGACTATGAAAAGAATATATCCTGAATCAGGGGAGGGTGGACAAAATTCCACTGTTTTTTTTGTTTTGTTTATTTGTTTGTACAATTTTTAGCTTTCAATCTTCCATAGCTCTTAGGCAAAGAATGCCATGACTATGAAAATATATTCTGAATCAGGGGAGGATGGACAAAAATGCACTTTTTTTTTTTGTTGCTTTCAATCTTCAATAGTTCTTACACAAAGTGTCCATCCTCTGATTCAGAATATATCATTTTCATAGTCATGGCATGCTTTGCCTAAGAGTTATTGAAGATTGAAAGCTAAAAAAAAATTCTAATAAACACGAAATGTAAAAAAAAAAAAAAAAAGCTGTGGGTTTTTGTCCGTCCTCCGCCGATTCAGAATATATCATTTTAATAGTCATGGCAAACTTTGTGTAAGAGCTATTGAAGATTGAAATCTGAGATCTTATTCAAAAATAATTTTACAAAAGGAAGAAAAAATAAAGTGTGGAATTTTCTCCATCCACCCCTGATTCAGAATATACCATCTTCATAGTTATGGCATGCTATTGACGAGAGTAAACCGAATATCCACTGAACATCTGATATGAAACTCATTTTACCTAGTTTATGTGGTCCTCTGTAGCTCAGCTGGTAGAGCACGGCGCTTGTAACGCCAAGGTAGTGGGTTCGATCCCCGGGACCACCCATACACAAAAATGTATGCACACATAACTGTAAGTCGCTTTGGATAAAAGCGTCTGCTAAATGGCATATTATTATTATTATTAGAAATTAGGCTTGAATGCAATTTTGGAATATCACCCCAATGTTTTTGACCTTGTTTGACATGAAACATAAAGCAGTATGTGGGCTGTATGCCTGTAATATGCCAATTGTAAGCCTATATGCCTATATCATAGAAATCAATTGCTATTTGCATGGAATGCACTTCAGAACATTTATACACATTTTGACTGGTGGACCCACTCTTTGATGGAAAACAAAACTAACCATGTGGTAGTAATAGTATAGTCCAGTGGATAGGTTAAATAATTGTTCCATTTTATGATACTTGGTACACTAATACTAGATACCTTAAGGAACATTTTAAAGATTGGAGGCAGCCTGGGAAGCCTGTCAGTCAACCAGGGCGGCCATTTTAATAAAATGGCTACCATCCGGATTTCCTGTCAGAAGAAAATAGGGTAAAATCATTCCAAACAATATAAAAATGACTTTGTAATGTTATCTACCGACTAAATAAATCCTACAGATAATATAGACAATAATTCTAATCATAAAGTACTCTTAAGACCTTAATGGGGGTCCAGTTGAGGTCATTTTGACCATAGTCCAGTGGCTACGTGAAAACATTGTGGACTTTGAGATAGAGCAACCAAATTTCACACACAGCTAGGGCATGTCTAAATAAGTATCTTCGACTATAGTGCCATCACAGATTTGGACCATTACCCCCCTGGAGGTCATTTCCAATATGGCTGCTGAAAAATAGGATAAGAAACCCAAGATAGGTAACTAGGCTCCGTTCAGAGAGCAAGCAGACGACAGAGACAGTGCCAGAGTTCACATATTTATTGAGGGCTTGTGGTTGGACATGGTTAAGTTGGATTTGTATGTGGTTCTGCAACAAAGGATATACATTATAAGCAGGTTGCATAACATAAAAGGTAAAGGTCATAAGGATTAATCTATTAAACCAGTATCTTAAATAAGGAAATTACATGACATCTTAATGTTATGACAACTAAAACATGTTGTACAAAAGTGGTGAAAACGTGTGGCAACTGGAAAGAAACTGAGGAATGTCTTGACAGGATTTAAATACATGAAAAACTAAAACGCTGCACACTGCTGTTCATGCTCCCAGGTGATTTTATTGTTACAATGTTTCGACCCTTAGGTCTTCATCAGGCATCCATATCCCAGGTGGGGGTGGAAGGTCCTATATATAGGGGCAGTGCTCAGTAATATCACTTCCTGAAACAGGAGGTAAAAATATATAATATTGGTTCACAATCTCAACATTCAATATATCAAAATATATAACCATACATGAGGAATGTGATAAATATTTAAAGTAATATACATACACTATTCAATTAGGGTAAAAACAGTAGTTTGGACATTTTTAGAACTATAGAAGTTTCAAGTCAAACTCCTCATTAAGGCCAAGAGGAGACAGTGTTGAGCCTGTGGATCCAGAAAGATTCCCTTTTGAAGTAGTTTCCTCTCAATGTCCCCTCCCTTGTGTGACATCTTGACCATTTCTATTCCAACGTATCTCGGAGCGCTAATAGGATGTCCAGCATGTACAAAATTAGCAGGATTTAAATACAAACTAAAGGTGTGAATGAGCTTATCAGTGCAGGCCTGATAATTAGTGACAAGTGTGTGGCGTTGCGAGAGAGTCAACAGGTGAAATCAACTTGGTTGATCAAGTTCATCTCAGTGGTATGCTGCTCCATTCTGAGGGCTTCTTTACAACTGCCAACCAGCTGCATGGGGCCGTATTGGACACGATTCACATGTCCATATCTCAATAAACAATTGGAACATATAGCCCAATGATGGCTTAAAATGTTTGAGGGGGTCTGGAAAACACAATAAATGGCCCATATATACGTATTCTTTAAACATGTTGTACAAAAGTGGTGAAAACGTGTGGCAACTTACTGTTTTCTGTAAATGTTTTCATGGCTAGTTCCAATAGTATACATTTAAACACTCTAAAAAATATATATGGGTGTTCCCTGATGTCTACTGATTGCAATGATATATAATATAATATCCTGTTTTGTGTCAATTTTAAGAAATGTTATACGAAACCTGCCCTGTGCACGTCACTTTAGGTAAACTCCCATAGGAATGCATTATGTTCAGCAGAGAGACAGGTAACCCATTATGATGAGACCTTTCGGTCTTTACACAAAGTAAGTAAACTACTGCATAAAAATGTCTAGCTATAGTGCCATTGCAGTTTTAATAACCTATTATACTCTAAAAGACCAGTTTTCCAAAATGACGGCCAACCAGCTACATTGGTTCTAATTTGACAGGATTCACATGGCCATATCATAAATAAATATATTGGTATATTTACCCTCAAGCCGATACTACGACGGCACTCAAGGAAGTACACTGGACTTTGTGCAAACTGAAAACGGCATATTCTGAGGCCGCATTTATTGTAGCTGGGGGATTTTATTAAAGCAAATCTTAGGAAAACGCTACCAAAGTTTTATCAACACATTGCCTGCTCCTCTCGCGCATCAAAATCCTTCGACCATTGCTACCATCACAAACTTTTACAGATGCATCATTGAGAGCATCCTGTCGGGCTGTATCACCGTCTGGTACGGCAACTGCACCGTCCGCAACAGAAGGGCTCTCCAGAGGGTGGTGCATTCTGCCCAAAGCATCACTGGTGGCACACTGCCTGTCCTCCAGGA